TAAAATCATTTTTTTTACATTTTTCATTTAAAATTCAAATTCTAATTTGCTACTACTATTATTTTTGAATTATGTCAGTTTGTAATTAGTACAAAATTAATATGTAAATTTTATATTTTCCCTATTTTCTTATATTTGAATCTCTATTTTAATAATTTTTTCTGTAAATTTTAGTTAAATTAATACTTCGATAGAAAATTAATATGTATAAAATTAATATGTATAAAATTAAATACTGGGGTTAGCTTTAAGTAATTTCGAAATAAGACTAAATAATTATGTAAATCTTCGATCTTTATCAAGGTTCTTTCATTTAATCAATATTAAATATAATAGAATGTTATTTTATTATCAAGAATTAAGATTAACTCATTCCTTTTCTAAATAATCGAAAAATATTTTGTAATAAATATATATACGTTCAAGTATTTGGAATTTAAAATTTTTTATTAATAATATTTGAATTATTTCTTAATTAAGGATTTTATTGTAATATATAATCAAATATAAAGTTTATTTTCTCTATTGAATCTTATTTAAATTTAAAAGAATTTAAAACCTGTAACCTAATCTGTATTAATTTGAATATATATAGAAAAGTACTAAATAGATATCTATAAAAGTATGAAAAGTAAATAAAAGATTATATGAACTAGTTTAGACAGTGACTAATAGTTGAATTGATTGAAGAGTCACAAAATGCAGTTGGAAACTACACAGAACATAGAGAAAGTAAGGAATGAATCAATATTTTAACATTTGATGATTTTGTAAATAACCTATTAGAAATAATATCAGAAATTATTATGGAAAAAGATACTCAATCAGATAAGAATAATTAAAGAATTGCTCAATAATATTGTTTTGTTCTGCTTATAATTTCTTATTCATAGTTAATGGTTCTTTTGAAATTTAGTTTTCTTGCTTAATTGTATTTCAAGTTTAAGTCAAGGCCTCTCATTATTCCTGAAAGTAGATTAATATTAAATTATGCAAGTAGTATCTCTAGGTGTATTGACAGGCAGGATAGATATTTTTCCATGAAATAATTATAATATTTGAATTTCAAATGTCTGAAGATAAATTTTTCATAACTTCTTAACATAGGATTTGTAAAAATAAACAAAAAAAGATGAAGATCTGAAATACCCTACATTTGAATATCAAAACTTTATGTCTTTATAAAGTATAAATCTCATTACTTTATAGGAATTTAGGCAATCCATAAATTAATTATGCATTTCAAAACATCTCATTTGTGAAAGTAATAGATTATAGCATTTATTAGCCTACAAGAATAATCTAAATTTTTCTTTTTTTTGTTTAGACAAACAACATTTTTTGTATAATTCTCTTTCGAATTTGATAATCATTTATAAGTAACTTAATACAAAAATTATCAAAAAATGTTATTTAAAATTATCCTTTAAGATTTAGAAATTAACATTTATAATTATAAATAAAACCAATTCATTATTTTTTTTCATGTAATAGAATTCTATATGGTCTAACATCTATTGAATTATTAACTACAAAATATTATTTTTTGATCATATAATCTCCTCCCTGTCTTATTTTTTTTGGATTTACTCTCGACATAAGGATTGGAGCAAATTATTTATTACAAACTTAAACGTAATTAGCATATCCATCCTTTATACAGACATTATAATCATTTGAGAAATAAATTCCATTTCCTACTTTCACTGTTTTTCCAAATTCATCTATACAATCATTCAAAGCACAAGCATTACCTTAACCAGGTATTAAATTATTTTAAATAATTGAATTAACAGCATAATTTTTGGTACCATGATACATAATTCTCCATTCATTAGGATTGCCATTCATTTATATCCAATCTTAATTGTCTCCATATTTTTTAACATTTAACCCAAACCCAAAACAACCTTTTGGGAAATAATAATCGTATCTATTATTAAAAGGTCCTCTTTATTCTTTCTCCTTAAAGCCTTCCCAAGTCATATTGTATTGAGGGTTGAAATCATTTAAAGATATAGCTACTTTTGATCTACTATTCGCTTTTGCTAAATCAAAATATGCTAGATATTCTATTATTCCATTGCAATATTCATTTAAAAAGGTTTATGCATTTGGATTATTTTAAATTTCTAATTAAATTTCTTCAATAGTTTTTCCCTTAATTTAAAAACTAATTTCAAAGCTTCCCTTTGATACTCCTAATATTTCAATTTAATCAAATGGAATTTTAAGTGAGGTTGATAGTTTTCCCTTAAATTCTATCAAAGTTTGTTCTAATAATTACTCATTATTAACTATTTTATCATAATCAAGATTTGTGTTTCTAACTTTAATAAAAGATTAATCTTAGCCAAATACTCTTATAATTGAATCAAATCCAGCTGAATAAATTGAATTAATTTTCAATAACTCTCTATTTTAATCTCTTAATAAGGATTCTTTTAAAACATAAAACAGCAGATCAGGATTTGAAATTTCAATATTCTAATTGATATGAGGAATTGATTTTGCATCACCTGACTCTCTTAATTTTGTTAATAGTTTTTACTGATATTCATTCTTATAGTATTGTTTTTAATCATTTGTAAGATTTTTATCATTATCTATTTTATTAATTTCTTCATTTAATATTACTATTTATTCTTTAGCAGGTTTTGATGTAATTATTTATGATTTTGTTGTTTATTTTATTATAGATTATAAGCGTTACTTCTACTCATCAACTTGAGATTTACTTCCTTATTAATTCATTTAAAAATAATGATAAAAAATATTAAAAATAATGATGATTTATAAATTATTGTAATAGAATTAGAAATATTTAATTGATTAAACCGATTATTAATTAGAGAATACATCTTTAAAATAATAGGCTCTTCAAAGTAACTATCATTTAGTTCTTAGTCTAAATGTTGATTCGTTATTTTGTCCAAAGTAATTTATTATTTAATTCAAGCAGTATGGATAGAAATAAGTATATCTTAAAAAAGGAGTAATTTATTAAACATAATTGTTATGTTGAAAGATCAAAAATAAGGATTTAGTTTAAAACAATACGTGAAATTTTATAAAATAGTAGATCGTTAATCTAATTTTAAGTTCTTACTTGTTATTCTAAAATTTAATAATACATTAAGATTATAAGAATTTTTTAATTTAATTTTAATAGTCTATCAAAATTAAATATAAATAATTAATGATAATAGTTATAATTTAATTATTATGGTCAAATTACAGTATATAATTATTAAATTAACATTCTCTATTATATTTTATTAAATTTTCAAGACAATAATTATATAATTCTATCCTTAATTGAATATATCTAAAACATTGGAAGTGATTTTGGATTTGATTGAATTAAAAATAATCATTTTCGAAGCATATATCACTAAATTACTTTATGTTCATATTCTCTCAATTATTCAGAAATTTTTACTTAGCCATCTATTTCTAGGTCTGTATAATTGCTAATTTCAAAGAGCATGATATGAAGAGATTTTTAGATTATAAATTCTAATATTAATAATTTATATTTAACTAATGTTAGAAAATAATTAATATGATTGACTTCCTTTTAAATTTTTACTCAATAATTGAGTTAAAAATGAAGGGTGTTCCTATTTTGCAATTTTAATCGCCTATCTAAATGAAGATGTTTGTATCATTTATTTGTTTAATAAGGTCATATTAATATATAATCAAATCTATATGTCACAGCAACATTTTAAAACCATTTAAATATTACAAATTAATTCAAATAGATATAGCACAAATGAATATAATATACTTCAATTCAAAATCAATAGTTGTTATTCCATTCTAAACAATAATTACTCTCAGAAATACACATTTTTTTTCTGCTCATCTAAAACTAAATTAATCAAATCTATCATGATTGATTTACATAAGAAATAGAAATTCAATACAGTAAAATTAACTCTTCGAAATTGAAATAATCCAAATTAGAATTTGAACAATCAAATGCATAAATTATTACAAAAAATCTAAATTGCAATTTAACTTATATATTGCAATTGACCTTTAAAATAGATTAATAGTTGCTTCATTTTTTAAAGATATTTTTATTAAATGAATTATGCATTTTTTTTCATAAACTTCTGAGAAATTAAAATGAATCAATAAGAATATTAAATAATTTTTAATTGATAGTTTTGTTAATTAATTGTAAAAATATTTCTATACAAAAGGTTGGCTTTACTTTATAAAGTTAAATTAAAGAAAGAAAAGATTATTCCATAACTATGTTTAGAAAATTTTTGAAATATTAGAATAAATGTATAAATAAAATATGGTTATATTCGATATTAATTTATAAATTTCTGAATACTGTCTAAATTGATGGTATAACTTAAGTTCATTCTTGTTGATAAAAATAACTAAATATTCTAAGTATTTATTGAAAAATAAAATGGAAATATTATACTTTTTATAATTTTAAGTATATCATCTATTAGAGATAATATGAAAGTTAGGGATTTAATATCTAACCGTTTTGATTTGTTAATTATGATTTTTATTTTGTTTCAAAGTATCAATATTTCGCATATATTGAAATCCAATTAATAGTAATTTAAATTATTTGCTTTATCTGTTGTTAAATTATTGAGAAGTAATACACACCATTTATATTATACAGTTTATATGCTTGTAATTTAAGCGTTAGATATCTCTGGTAATTTATCCAGGATTTCGAATACTCTAAGGATTTCGAACAATCTATGGATTCCAAAGATAATAAAGACGATTCAAACATAAAATATTTGGATTCTTCTTAAAATCATTAAAATTATTCAAATACATTATAGAGGGGAAGAAACTGATATTTAATTGTTTTAATTGTTCAATAGTTATAAAAGACGTCAATAATAATTCATTCTTTAACTCAATCTTTACCTAAAATAAGTTTTTGGTCTCTAAATTCATTCTCACTTTTTCTATGTTTGATATCTTATTAAACTAAACTGCTTTGTTTTAATATTTTTGCTAAATAAAAATTCATCCATTTTATTGGTAAGTTGTCTCTTAGTTTGATCATTAATCAATTCTCTATTATATGATTAATTGTAGGCTTAATTTTATGTATATATTATATCTAATTAGGAAATTTGATTAAATATTAATTAAATATGTTAGCATCATTTTAGATTCGTAAATTCCTAAAATTTATTTAATATATTTTTGATAACAAACTTCTAAAATGAATTATGGAATATTCAATAAAAAAAATGCATTATAAGGGAGAAAATAAAACTCAAAATTTTTATTAAATATGTTTTAGTTTTCTTTTTTGGAGATAATATTATACTTGGTTGTAATCTTGGCATTGCTAATTTTAAAACCATTATTCCAAATTTTGCTAATGAAGATAAAATATGGAAAGAAAATGTATATGATTTATTTTCCATTGCTTGGAAGAGGCAGATAATTTTAAAATTAGATTTAGAAATACAATGACCTTTATCATTTCGAAAAGATGATTCCCTAAGAGAATCCTGAAGTTGAAATGATTGTGAGCAATTCATTTATGGGATTGACACATGTATTTTTGAAACCTGATCATATTAAATTCATCCTCTAGAATTAAGATCTTTATAAAAAGGCAACAAAAGTATTTTTGTTTGGTGACAAAATGTTTTACAAAGGTTTGTTTTATTTATTCTTATAATTAGGTTTGGTATTCCAAGAAGGAGATGAATGGAAATTGGCTAGAAATGTGCTTTCAAAATCTTTTGAATTTGATTAGCTAAGAGCAAGAATACCGTTAATAAAACGACTATGTGAAGAGAAGTTCTAATCAGTTCAAGAGAATGAACCTATTAATATTATAAACATATCAGGTAACATAGTTGGAGAAGTGATTACCCAGTCCTTCTTTAGTCAAAGTTTCAAGGATCTGAATGGGAAAACATTCTTATCTGAATTAGTGAATGTTTTGGTAAGCATCATCTCACAATACAGAGAAGCACCATATCGATGCATATCAAGAGCCTTTATTTTTGGAGAATCGGATTATCCAGATTGGACCTTATCTAGTGTTGAAAAGTAGCTTTTAGCAAGACTTCAAAATATCAAAGAAATCTTGAGGGTATCAATCAAAGAAAGATAATAAATGTAAAATAAACCAGCTGACTTTTTAACAGCATATATTAACACAATATGTAAATAATAGATATTACAATTTAGAACAAAATCCAAATTTGACTGAAGAACATGCAATTCAATAATATATAATGTTAATCTTTGCAGGTATAGATACAACAAGTCATCTATTTGGGGCATGTTGTTATGCTTTGTCTATCCATCCTGAATGGCAAAAAAAATTGAGAGAAGAAATTCAAAAGTAATATGGAACATATGAACAATTAAACAACGAAAATATTAATATATCAAGCTTTATTACCAATTTTATCAATGAATGTATGAGAATGTATACTCCTGTTCCGTATTTTGTTGAGAGGGAAGTTAAATAAGATCATAAGGTTGGAGAATACTTTTTGAAAAAGAATTCATAAGTTTAATTGTGTATATTGCCAAATAATTATGATGTAAAGAATTTTTCAGATCCTTTTAAATTTAATCCTGACAGATGGAATAAATAGATTATTGATCCATTTATATTTTTACCATTTTCAACTGGAAAAAGAAATTGTATAGGCTAACATATGGCATTAATGGAAGTAAAATGCTTATTGATTTATTTATTGATGAATTTTGAAGTGAGTCTTTCAGGTGAAAAACAAGTTTGGTCTATGAAATTTGTCTATACAATTTAGGATGACAAATTCATCTAATTGAAAAGAATTGCAAAATGATCTAGAATCATATCATCTAATGTTAAAATAAAGATTTTCATTATTCTAGATGACTTCATAGATTATTCAAATTTTTCTCTTAGTTTATGGAATCCTTTCTATTATTATTCATAAATATCTTCGACTAATTAATCAAGTGAGTTTTCTCTTCCATGACTTAATTTGTACATTCTCTTTAAGTGATCTTTAATTATGATTCCTCAATAGATTAAGGATCTTGGAAATTATAACCTTTTTGTACACACTAATACAGATATTTTCATATTTATATCTATATAAATAGGATTTATTTGGTTGATTTGAATTTTGAGTTCTAAAGAATATCTTGCTAATTATTAAGCATTCTGTTTTCTTACTAATCTTTCAGTTTCTATAATTATTATTTATCTTAAGAGTATTTAAATTTTATTGAGAGAGTTAATTAGAAACATTTTCAAAGAAGGTTGTAAATCATTATAGTACTGATGTATGAATCAACTGATTGATAAGTAATTATTTATTTTGTACATGAACGTGAATATAGCTCTCTATTATTGATTCTTTTTAAGAAAATCAAACAGATTTTTCTTTATATTTATTAATAATTGATTAAACTAAATCAAAACAAGTATTTGGATAAACTTTATATCTTTATATCATTTTACGAGGGTCATTCATAGAGCTAAGCCCTTTAATTAATTCATCCTCACATTATAATTATTGTTTTATTATTTAACTTGATATGAAAAAAAAAGTATTGATATTTTATAATAAGTAGAAAATTCCTTAAAAAGACAGCCTAAAGTGAGATTTTAATTAAAATTTCTCTTTTGCTTGTATGACAACTCTTCGAGCTATTAAATTTAATTTATTACTGTGAATAATATTTAATCATATTATTAGGTGATTTCAAATTTATAAAAAAACCCTTTAATAATTACTTTAATGATTTTTAAAAGACATTTAAAACTCAGAAATTTGGACAGTATATAAGAAAGATAGTAAAACTCACTCTATTAATTAATAATAAGTGAATTACTTTAGTTCAAGTATAAGTTTGATAATAAGACATTTAAAAAAAATAAAATAATATTAAAAAAATCATGAAAAGGTTATTAATTACTATCTCAAAATTTAATAAATTTATAACTTATTAGTAGATAAGTTTATTTAAATAATTATTATATTAAATTAATAGATAATATGTAATAAAAAATAAAATTATGGATGCCATAGGTGTGTGGACATTTGAGTTTAATACTACAGAAAAGTATATTAAAAAAAGGAGGAAAAATATCAGACAGATAATATTCTTAATTCTTTTCAAATATTTGATTTGGATTATCTGATAATTTAAAATATTTAGAAATTTTTGATTAGATAATCAGAAATTAGAAAACATAAAGGCTTATAAAAGTATAATAAAAATACTATTTTAGAATAAACTATTTGAAATTCAATCATGCATAATGCAGTAATTTTTATTATATAAACTATCATTTTTTCTAGAGATTCTAATTTTCTAATCTTTTAAGTGAATTTGGATGGTTATTTAGTAATCGATATTTAAAAAAAGAAAGAATACATCTTTAAAAATTTAGAGGAATAATTATTTTTTAAATAGATAATGGATACAATCAATAGTATAAATATATAAAAACAAGAAAATGTTTCATGTCAAATCAGAGTAGATTAATATTCAGTAAGAAATTGAAATTAAATTCAATTGTGATCTTATCTTAAATTTCAAATTATTTTTATTGAAATTTGCCTATATTAGCATAGAATTATTCTAAAATACGATTTGAGTTGAAAATTGTAAAATTATTAATATAAGAAAAATATAAATAGATCAGAACATATAATAAATCATTTCTTAAAACCAACTTTCAATTAAATAAGATATGTTTTTTAATTGTAATAAATACACTAGAAAAATTTACTTAAAAATTTTAAGAAGATAAAATAAGTTAATAGTGAAGTTGTGTAAACAAAGATTATGATGCATTCAAGTAATAAAACTAGAAAGTATTTATCTAATAATAAGAGTATTTTGCCTTATTAATAAATTTAGAATAAATTTAAGTTTATTGAATTCTTTTTTTGATTATAATACTCTCCGTCAATTCATTTAAAATTGAGATTAGTCGATTTTATCGTTGTATTAAAAAAAGTCATATAAATTATAGTTTCAATCTTATTTTCATATATAAATTGGGAAAAACATACATCTTTCTTTAATTTTTTTTTTTTTTTTTTGAAACTATTACTTTCTTTAATTATGCTAATTTCCTTTATAAACAGCTAGCTCTTTTAATATTTTTCAAGTAAATTATCAATAAAATTTAACTTATAAGAGTATGATTATATTTATATAAATTATTTGTTTTATACTTTTCACTTTTTATCTATTGGATAATTTACAAAAATAACTTTAATATTAGAATTACAAACAATAGTTATAAATAATAATTAAAAAATTGAATTATAAATTTATAAATTAAAAAAAGACCTTAATTTATAATTTAAATTTGATTCCATCTCATTATATCAAATATGGATTTACTTTTTAAATATTTCATATAATTAAATTGTTCCTTTGATATTTAAATAAGTTGACTTTAATTTGTAAACAGAAATAAAAGGTTGTAATTAAATTTAACTAATAGTTTATTCTTGAAATATTTAAAAGATGTTATTCTTTAAAAAATGGAATTATTAAGCTCAAATTAAACAATGGATTTGTTAAAACATTTTGGGAGAATGTTTTCAACTTACAGAATTGAAGATGAAAAATAATAATTGAAAATTGATACTTCAATGTATGTTAAAATTTCAAATAATGAAAATATATATGTTTTTAGTTTTATACGATATTAGTTTTCATGAAACTCTTATTATGTTACTATTTTACATTTTTATGATTATATTTAAATATATATTATATTTTAATACAATCTAATATTATTTTCATGGTTGCCACAATTAAACTTAATTTATCTGAAAATACTAAATACTATTTTAGATAAAATATTATCACAAAGTACTATTTTTTATTGTTCTTATTTATTAAAATTTTAATATCGATATTCAAAAATTGATTATTTATGATATTTGCATTATTTTTATGCCCTTTCTTTACAGCTTAATATTCGTTCCCAAATATTACACTATATATGGATAATTTGAGTTTTAGAAAAATAATTACAATTAATGAAGCTGAGTTATCTGAAGAGAGTTGTTTCACTTTTGGAATATGGTCAAAATATAGCCCATTAAATATAAAAAGTTTTTAAGATCAAATTGGAATGTTTGAAAGTAATTGCTTCTAATTAATAAATGTAATGGATTATACAACATAGACTTTAAATTTTATTTATTATGTTTGTCTAGATTATTCTTCTAAAAGAATTGTCAAAACCATAGAGTTTTTAAGTGATCAAGATAAATCAATTCGATTTGAGAAATATATAGATCCATCTGAATATGAAAATATTTGGTATTAATTTTAGTTGATTTCATGGCCAATATTGAAGAAATTAAAGTTAACAATCATCTAATCAGATATAATAATATTCAAAGAAATACTAGTTAATATTGAACCTTTCAAAGAATAACAACTATTGTTAATTTTTGGAGAGAACTTGGAAGTAAAGAAATCTAAGATTCATTAGATTGGATAAGGGATGATACTCTCTTTATTTCCAGGATAAATTGTTGTATATGATCCTTTGATAGAAGTAATCCCTGTATCATTTGACTTTGAATAATAAATAATTGAAGGGTTTTAAAGTCTAAGATAATGTAAGTGTTAAAACAATTAATAAGTGAACTTAGAAGACATTGACTTAAATATTCTTGATTAAAAGGTTTATATTTCTGAAAATGTTAATTGTGATTATTATGCTTTAGGTGGTTGGTTAAGGGTATAAGATATAATTTAGAAAGATGAATAATTTTCTTATTATTTTATGAAAATGACAGCATATTTAGGATAAAAGCAAGAATTCATCGAAAATTTAGCATCATTCCAATTAGTTTATTTAATTTCTACTATTTAAACAAAAATAATAATAATAACATATAGTTTTGATTTTCCTATTGTTTCTAAATAGATTTTGGATGATTCATAATATATAGAGACAGTATTTTAGATTTAAAGGGATATTATTACATCATGGCATTATTTAATTTTGGAATTAGATGATAATTAACTAAATATTAAAATAACTTTTTATGATTATTATAAAAATAATATGTAATCTTATGATGCTTAAGTTAAAGTAAGGTAATTTCATAATTGTTAATTTAAATTAAGATATGGAAATATAATATAGAATGAATTAAATTATTTAAATATTGCAGTAAGAAATTTGTAATTTACTAATTGCAAATATGATTAAAGGATTAATAAATGTCATTATAGTTGTTTAGATTGTGATGGTTAGGGTAAGACACATTGTTTGTCTTGTTCAGTTGATTCACAAAGGATATATCTACATGAATTTAAGCAATGCATTTGTCCAATTAATTCAATAGATTATGATAATAAATGTATCACTTATAAAGATTCTAATCTTAAGTTAAAAATTCAATAGAATATTGATATAAAATGTAAAACAGGATATTTTGAATTAGAAGGAGATTGTATAAGATGGTATATATATATATATTATTTAATAATATTTAGTCCTTCAAGAGTAAAAGATGATTATATTACATGTTTTGAATGTTTTTAAAAAGTAAAGGATTGGGCTTAAGTTTCTATTTGTTAAACTATACTTTAAATTCCTTAATAATTTTAGCATTTAAATACTATTATCTTAATCAATTCTTTATAGTATTATCATGATGGATCTGATTTAATATTATGTGAGAATTGTTTATTATTAAATGATAAATTTTAAGAATTGCAAAATTAAAATGGTATTTATTAGTTGTTTTTATAAAAATCTATGAGTTTCAAATAATTTTGTTTATAGAAGATTGAATTTGATGATGAATAAAGATGTACACTTTGTAATATCATTGATTGTGTCAGATGTGGTATTGATGTTGAGAAAATGATATGTTTATAATGCTAATAGAATTTTGTATTAATTAACGGAATTTGTAAATTATAAACTAAAACATATCTTTATCAATCTTGCCGACCTCCATATTATACATCCTATAATAGAGAGTGTAAGATATGCACTATAAATAAATGTTTATACTGTTTTGAATATTATTAAAATAATGGATAAGATTTAAGTACTCTAGAATTAATTGAATTTGCAATATTAGAATAAGAATTTAATTCAATAAAGATTGGTTGTATTTTATGTTAAGATGGTTATATTTTTAATTTTTCATTAGGAATATGTATAAATTAAGCACCAAGAATATAATATTGTTTAATATCTTATGTAAAATCATTAAAAGAAAAATGTATATTATCAAATTTGAATAATTTTTAAGTATCCAGAATAATTAATGCTTGTGATAATTTTATTGTAAATTGTTAACAATGTGCATTATCTAATTATTATATTGTATTTTGTATATAATGCAAAATTGGATATATATTATAAGATAATTAATGTTATATGAATGAGGAATTTGGATTGGATTATCAAAATGATATGTGGGATTTATAAGTTTAAGCTTTTTTATTAATTTATAATCCAGAACATAATCAATATTTTTATTAATCAACAGAAGAATAGTCTTATAAATGTGGTAAGTTATGTTTAAAATGCAGAAATTAAGATTTGTAATATTTTTGTGATGAATGCATCTTGGAATATATGGAAGATACAATTAGAATCTAATATGGATTCTACTGTCCTATTTGTCCTCGTCTTTGTTAAGTTTGTACATCTCGTTCTCTACAAGAGATTAATGTAAATAAAATAACATATAATATTTTTAGTCTATGAATCCTTTTTTTTAAATTTCAGAATCCAATTCTATATATACATAATAATGTCTTTTACCTATTAAAGATCCTTTTATATTTCATGATCCTTATAATAAAACAACTTAATATTGTTTTGATGGTAATTGTCATAATGAATTTTAATTAAACAATTATTTGAATAGTTGCTTTTTTAGTAGATTTCCTAAATCTCTCTCATACTTTAATATTAACTAAGAGTATTGCAATCATATTGGCATAAATACATTAACTTTTAATTTGTTCTTTTAAATACCTGAAGAACTCTGTTTAATAATGCCATTACTCAATCAAAGAGCATCATTAAAAAAATATGTCTTTGTATTATAAACAATAAAAATTAATTTAATATCATTAAATCCATTTTATTTTGTTTTAACAAATGGAATATAACTTGAAGAATATGATTCTGTATCTTTCATTAATTCTGGATTTATTTTTGTAGAAAATTTATAAGAGAATATTTTGTTGTTGAATAGCTATAATCATATTGATTTAACATTGATTAATTGTACAATATAGAATAGCAGCATTAATAATATCACATCAGTATTTTATGCATAAAAATTTGGATCAATCATTATATAAAATTTTACAATTATAAACACAATCATTAAAAATTCCTCATTGTTTAATTTATAATTATTATAATTTGAAGGATATATGACTATTTCTTCCATATTTATTTCAAATTGCACTTTTATAGATTCCTAATTATTTTAATTTTCTAAAAGTTAATAAAATATCAACATTCTAAATTTGACTTTAGATTCATGTATATTGTAAAATGCATCTTTATTTACTTTAAATATCAATTACATAGAAGAAACAAAATTAGAATTGAGAAACTTAATAATTTAACACAATTATTTTTATAATTCCTATTTTCTTTTTTGTTCATAAATGATTCATATAGATTTAAATAATATTATCTTGAATTTTAATAAGATACATTATTCAATAATATTTGGATTTAGTTATAGTATATCAGCTAATTACATTAAAATTAAAGAAAATATATTTAATGAATCCTAATTTCTATAAACAATTGAAGTAACAAATGAAATAAATACTTAATGTTCTATTTCTGAATTAATAGTGGAAAACAATGTATTTCAAAATGTTAATTTAATTCATATATTTTCAAATTCTTATTCAAATAAATTGCAAATTTCTATTATATTTGTACGAATTTAATAAAACATTAAATCAGTTAATACGAATTAATCTAGTTAAATATTTAACATTAATAGTAAATCATTAGATTTAAACAATTTTATTATTAGCAATAACTAAGAAATACGTATTTTTAATATTTATGATATTGAAGATATCAAACTCAAAAATTTAATATTTGAAAATTAAATAGTTGAATAAAAGGTCTCTATTTCAAAGAATTGTTTCTAAAGATCAAATCTATAAAATTAATTAATTTTAATAATGGGTTTTGATAATATTTCAATAGAAAAGTGCAAATTTATAAAATAATCCAGTATTGATGAATCACTTATAGAAATAGTTTCAAGTAAATCAAAATAATTACTTGGGTCAATATTCATAAAAAATATTGAATTTTATGGAAATCTCTTATAATTGTTGAATTAAGTTTAAGCTTTTTCACTATTAACCATACTTTCAGATAAATAAATTAATATTTTAATGGAAGATGTTAAATATTAAAATAATTTTATGCATGTATATTCTGAAAGTGCCTTAAAGTAATCAGCTACTTTATTATAAATTATATCATCTACAAGTAATATTTCAATAAATAACTTGTATTGTATCCAAAATTCCTTAACTAATTCATCCAATTCTTTTATAAGAATTACATCTAAATAATTAATAATAAGTAATATTTTAATCAAGAATCATAATATATTACCTTACAATATTTGGAAAGAATATTATTTTATTAAAATAGAGGATGAATAAAATTAAGAAGAAATTAATCTTTTTATAATGTAGATATATCATATTAAAACTATTGGAGGAGCAGCATAAATTGAAGTTAGTAAATTTGAATGTTTTAATTGTTTTTTTCAAGATATATTATCTGCAAAGAGTTCAGTTTTTGATATTGTGACTTCTAATGAAGGAATAGTTGTGATTTCAAATTTCTCTGTTAATTCAACAACATATAGTTTGGTTGAATAAAATGAAAGTTCTGGAAGCTTAAATTTAAATTCATAAAATAGTTTATTAACTCTATATATTTCATCTGCAAGATTCTTAAATGTCATTAATAGAATGTCCACATCTATTTTCACAATCATACCATCATTACTTTAAAATAAGATGATTATCAAAGATATATAAATTCTAAATTGTATATCTTTAAAAAATTAAATATTTCATATATAATTCATTAAGTAGATTGTTGCCTTAAATTCAATTTCATTCATAAATATTAAGATAATATAAGATTAATAAGCATGGGCAAACTATTTTTAAATGATAGGATTGTTAAGTTTATCTGATAGATTAGAAATAACAGGAGATGAAAATGCATTAATTTATTTAGAAAATTGTGATTTTTATATAAGAGATTTTGTTGTTGAAGGAATACTTATTGCTCCTGTATTAAAATTGATTAATGTACAAAGCTTGGTGATCTTTAATTGTAATATAGAAAATATTGTCAGTATAACCACATAAAGTCTTATATAGATTAGTTAAATAGTTTAAAGTAAATCTTCAATTTATTTAAAATAACTTAATATTAGAAGAACAAATGTATTTACATAAAATTTTTTAAAAAGTGTTAAACCTCCTAAATTTTAAACTGATTATTTTATAGTTGGATGTTTTATTATGAATAATTCTTTTTTAATTGAATAGCCAGAAGATTATCTACACATTAATATTATTTAATTGTAACAATCTAACTATCAAAGAAATTCCATCATAATGATAAAAAGCGAATCTAATTTAAGTAGTATTATATTAGAAATGATTAAATTAGAAAATAATAATTTTCAAACAATCTTAAATGGAATTATTTATTTTGATGTTGCTTTATTTTAAAAATTAAGAATCAATTATTTGGATTGTATTAATAATTTCATAAGAGAATATGGATGCCTTCATTTTGTAGGCAATAATTCAGTAATCTCTAAAATTTAAATTAAAGATTCTAATTTCATTAATAATAATGGAACCAAAGGAGTTGCAATTAAAGTTACAGATATATCACTAGATTTAAAAAATTGTAAAATTGCTTTTAATATGGCAAGTACTTAAGGTGGGGCTTTATATTTAAGAACTACTTCAAAATTATTTAGTATAATAAATACATAGATTATAAATAATCATGCTTAAGAAGGGGGAGGAATATATTTAGAAAAAGATCATAATTTAAATGCTAAAAACTTTAATAATTCTTATTTATTATTCAATATAGCATAAAATTATGGAAATAATCTTGTTGAAAATCCTACACATTTAACACTCTTTATAAATTAAAAAGAAATGCCTTACAAAATATAAGGAAAGGATAATACATCCATTAGTATTCTAAAAATTGAACCTTACAAAATAATTGAGTAAGGAATATTTATTGAGACATAATAACTTATGATTCCCAGTAATTAAGAAATCAATAACTATCAATTATTTATTTTAAATGGATCCTTTTATGTAAACTATATAAAAAATATGAGTTTGTTTTTTAAAAACAGTAAAGGAGAATTACTCTATGATTTAATAAGTTCAACATGTGAGGTATCCAGTACTATTATAAGGAATGATGGTGGAGAAGTAAAAGGATTAACAAAAAATCATACTTTATAATATGAATTTACAAATAATAATTTTGAATTAGGCTCTTTAACTTTTACTCTTAATCCATATGAATAGGAATTTAGTCACTTAAAAATTCAAGTAAATTGCAAGACTTCATATTCTTATAATGAATTCAAATATATTATTAATGCAAAAAGTCTTAAATGTTAATTAGGTGAATTTTATATTGAAAATGGATGTTAAATTTGTAGTTGGACTTAAGGATTTTATAGTGTCACATATAATTCAATTAAATGCTCTATTTTCGATAAATAAAAATTCTAAAATATAACTTCTAATATGATTAATTTATATGAGGGTTATTGGAGACCTAACTATCTATCAGATTATACTGAATCATGTTATAAAAATCCTTTATTTTGCTTAGGAGGTTGGAGAGTTGGAGATAGTACATGTAAATTGGGACACAAAGGTGCTTTATGCGAAATGTGTGATGTATATGATGAGAAAGGGGATGGAAAATTTTTTAAAGATTAATAAAACTTTTCATGTTAGTCGTGCTCAAAAAATGATAATATTGTTCTTCCTTTCTTATTTGCATTGTTTTAGTAAATATGATTTATAAGTTATAGATCTTTATTATCAATAACTTTGTCCTTAAAAAGCATCAATAAATCAAATTAATTATTTGCTTCATTAAAGATATTTATTAAGTTTAGTAAATTAATATTTAAATTGAGTTAAGGTAATAATTTATATTTATATTTAGATCATGAAGGAATATTAGTAAAAATGTTACTAAATCATTTATGGATATTTTCTGTTATATTTACTTTTAATATTAATTTTTCATTCTCTTTCATATTTATTGAATAATCTAGTAATAGCTTTTACTTTATGGTTAACAATTTAGATTGTTATTTATCTGATCTCCAAACTGAATTAATCTATATCAAAATCTTTGTTATTTTAATATTAATGCTATTTTAATTCAACTTGATACTTGCTCTATCACTTTTATATCATAGTATAACTAATAATAATATGGATAGCAGTTTACTCTCAAATACATTACTTTATTTGTATGTTTTTAATTATGGAGGATTGATTAAAATGTATTATTTTAATTTTCAATTAGGCTATGTTCATCCTTGTCAGGTAGATAAATATCTAATATCAATTATATATAAGGAGATGTATCATTATTATATGATACAAGGGATCATTAATTATGGATATATTGTCTGATTTTACCATTACTTATTGTTTTTGGTTGCATCATACCTTTTTCTTTGTTTTTATTAACTTATGTGAAAAGAGATATTCTTCATAAGATTAAACTTAGAAGACATATTTGCTATTTATTTAATGAATACACTGATAATAATTATTATTGGGAATAGATAAAATTATTATAAAAAGCAATAATAATTTTAATAACAACTTATTTTGAAAATAGTATTCTTTTGAAGACATCATTATTGGGTCTATGTTTACTCTCTTATTAAGCTATAGCTGTTAAAAATAAACCTTACATTATTTCAAAATTTAACAATTTAGATTTGTCTTCAGGATAAATTTGCTCAATTACTATATTTTTAGCAGCAATAAAATATGAAAGCTAGAATTTAAATAATTAATTTTTTTCAATATTCTTATAAATAATTATACTGATTTTATTAGTTAGACTTTGTTATCCATTTATTTAAAAAATTTTTACAGTTTATTACCAAAAATATAGTTTATAGATTTTGACAAAGATTTATGAATGTTTCAAATACTTAAATCTGAATAAATATTGTATTTAAATACTTGGAGATTATATAATTAAAGAGGTAGAAAGAAAATAGAAATTGAAAAGAAATTTCTAAAAACTCAAAGAATATTTGATTCCTAAATCTAAAGCTCTATCATCAAATTATAGGTATGTATTTATTAACTAATTTTAGAACTGTTACTAGAAAGATTCCTCTTAGATCAATATCAAATAGTGGATAGTATTTTATTGAACCAATTAACGAATGATTTCATGAATGATGTTTAATTTAAATATTTTTTTATAAATCTATAAATTTTAATTATCAATTATATTATACCAATATTTAAAAAGATATCAATAATTTATATTATTTATCTGAATTTACAAAGATTACCAAAATAATAATCTTAAAAAGTATTATTTATACACTTGAGCTTGTATCAGCAAAAATAGACATGTCTTTATTTGAATAAACTGAAAATACATTAAAAATATAGGCATATTATTTACAACTTTCATTAGTTACAAAATCAGCATTTTTACTTCCTAATAAAGATTCTTAAGTTTCAAATTTGTATTTCTTAAAAACTATTAATAATCAGAAGCTATTTAAATTACAAAAATCTATATTTCTATATTGCTCTACTAAACTTATTTTACATATTATAGTACAAGCACTATTAATAGTATATTAAAGGTTTCATTTAATTTTAATTTAATTTCAAATAAAAAATGAATCAAAAAATTAAATTAATTGAAAAAGGTTACTTCTAAAATGAATAGATGAAATGTTATTTAAATAAAGTCTTTAGAATAACTTTATTATCAACTTTATATTAAAATTAATTCTTTTGTTTAATTTTCAATTCTATTTTATAATAATATTTTTAATCAATCAGAGTGTATTGTTATTGAAATATATTTATAGTATTATCAAAATATTGTAATAGAATAAATGTGTTTTCACTTCTGATCAAAAATTTAAGTTAATAAATAATAGTATAAATTTTGTGAAAAATTATAAATCCTATATTTAAAGTCCTGAACATTCCACTGATTTAAATTTTAATGACTTTTAATCCTGGAAATCATGATAAAGTCCTAAGTTGGAACTTTTATTCTAAATAAAGGACAAGACTCATTAGGATGCTGTTCAATAATTGGATTATTAAAGAGCTTATTTCAATTATCTTTTTTTTATCCTCCAGAATTTATATTTGCAAAATAATTTATTAATAATTCTTAGATTATAAAAAATAAAATTATTTATAAGTATAAAATTTCTCATTACATTTATAAAACTTAATTAAATTAATAATTACATATCTGTATATAAGTAGATAAATATAATAAAAATATATTCTTTCTCTAAAGTATTTATTAATTTTAATAATATAATTTAAAAGTTTTTTATTATAAAATTGAATTAATACACTCATTATACATGTTTATCTATATTTTATAAATAATTAATATAACAAATATGATTTGCTCTAAAATAGTTTACTAATAGTTAATATAAAGCAGAAGTGGATCTTTTGATTAAAATAAATAATAGGAGGGCTAATGAGTAGATTTCAATCAAACCTTAAATAAATAATTCTTTTAATCATCTAGTGATTATTAAGAATCTTATTTTGTTGGTGAATATAAAAAAGGCAAAAATTGATAAATGAGATACAGAAGTAAGGTTTATATCCTCTGATCTTTTTTAATTATGTAAATGGAATTATTATTAATTATAGTGGAGGTGGAGAATATAATTAGAATGAAAATAAAATTGGATATAGGGATGAACCAATTCCTATTATAAATATGTATACTTTTATTATTATATTGAATGGTTAGAATTATATAAATATTACTGATATTATAAAGGTGTAAGAAAATGGTTAATGGGATATTTTTGAAACACTATGGCGATTTTGAAATTATGTAATTATAATATAGTAATTAAGTGGTGATAGTATATGAAGAAGGAGTGAAGATGGGTATATGGATGGAATTGAATTCAGATTATGATGAATACATTACTTATTTGGGTGAATATAATTAAGGTTTGAAATTTGGAAAAAGTAATAATATTCTTAGACAAGAGAATTGTGATTATTTCATAATTATGTATATTGATAATTGATTCTGAAGTGGCGTTAGTGGTTATTATGGCTTTAATTAGATGAAGCATGGCAAATAGATAGAAGTATAGAGAATTATTAAAAATACTTATACTAGCTTTTTAAAAGAGGAATGTTTTAATTAAAAATGTAATTCGTATAAGTATTGTTGATGTAAAATTTATCAAAGTTGATAAATGGGTGATAATTTTAAATTTCTTCAAATTTTCTTACAAATTGTAATTTGATAATTATATATAATTATAAACAATCAGACTATGCTAAAATCAATTAAAAAGTAGTAATAATACATTTTAAGAAACTTATAAATAATATAAGTAATTGTTATTATGTATATAGGATTGATGGATTGTTTGATAATTTTAGAATTAAAAAGGATTATGGTTAGAATTAGAATCAGTGGTAACTTTATTTATTTTGGTAAGTTTAAAGATGATAAAAGTTGGAAAATAGGATACTTCTTTTTTTTTCCATGAATAAAGAGATTAAAAAATTATATAGCTTATTATATAAATTAAGTGATGGAGGATAATATAATGAAAATGGCAAGAATAAGGTGAATGGATCGATGTTTAAAAAAGATATGTAAACTTGAATTTCTATCTAATATTGCTTATTATTATCCAAATGTGTATATAAAAATTGAAATTTAAGAATATTTATATATAAAAAGTGGATAGTTTGATAATAATGGACAAAAATAAGGTTTATGGATAGAATAATACAATAAGTATTTTTATTTTCTAATATAGCTTTGTCGTTCACTCTTAAAGACAGAATACAACTTATTCGTCAGAGTAAGTATTTATGGTCAGAAATAATCCGACTTAATTAAGCCAATTGTTTCAATGATGATTATTAAAATTTCCTAATATAATTAAAAAAGTCAATTCAACTTAAACCCGAGATTTAAAATTTTATTAATCTGCCCTCTAATTTCCTTGATCTCTTAAAAAGAGTATTTGAGGATCTTAAAAATACAATTAAAACTTTTCCATATTACTTATGTTATAATCATTGTTATGAGTAAACAAATCAATAGAATAGAATTGATCCTTGAATCTCCAATCCAGTTGATAATATTTGATATTTCTTTCAATCAAAAATATATTACGCAGTGTAATTTGTGAATAGAAGAAAACTTTTTAGCCTAATATACATATAAATTTTTATTTTAAGAATATATATTTTTGGATCATTATAACAAAAGCTATTCCAATAAGTATCATTTCCTTTGAGAAAAAAGCATTATTCATTTTGAATAATTAGTTAATTTAAACATCAATCATAATAAAAATTTGTTAATTTTAAGTTGTTTATAAGAATTTTAGTTTATCTTCTCTCATAAACCTTTAATTATGGTGTTGGTTTTATATCAAATGCCATCTATTTCTGATAAGTGTTTATATAATAATAAAAAATATATTAAAGAAATAATAATTATTGTTACCTCTAATAAGAATGAGTTCAATACTATAAATGCTATCCAATTGATAAATATTTAATATTGTATTTATTTTTGAAGTGTTTTTAAAAGCTTAAGAATTTCATAAAAAATGTTAAATATATAATTATTTCAATCTGAATGTAAGCACAAAATTATGTGAAGATCAATTACCAATATATATTAATTAAATATCATATTTCTGTTTTTCTAATTAATAGTCAAAGTTCATTTTACTATTAATTATACTCTGCCAAAATGAACTAAATTACAAACTTTCTTGAAAAGAGATAACAAGTTTTTTTAAGACTTTAATATAAACGTATTCTAAATTCAATTAAATGATTTTTTAATTAAACTAGAAATAATTTTTAATAAAAAATTTAATCATTCTCAAATAGGATTAATTATATATATTATCTCATTTAATAAACAGATGATGTATCTTTGAATTAAAATCATTAAAATTACTATTATTCTAAAACAAAAATAGTATAATTCATCTTTTATATAATAAATTTTAAAAGTATAGGATTTGAATGAACAACCAAAACACAATTATTATCAAGAATTTCTTTAGTGTCTTTTATTTGTTTTTAGTGCTTAATTTAGCTAAAAGTTCTTTTTAAAATTACAAGGATGCGATTTTAACATCAGGTTTATAAGTGACAGAGGAATCAATTAATATAATAAATGAGGATGACAACGATACTTATTGTATAGGATTCTGGAGTATGAGTATTCCTTTACAAATTCCAAAAAGAAATTTTGATATTGAAATACCATATGATTTAGAGTAACCAGAAAATGGTGAATTATTATTGTTAGTCAAAGATTCTGATACTAATGATAACCTAATTGTGGTTTCTAAGATATTGGATTATTCTAATAGGTAAGTTTAACACATAATATAATTTATAAATCACGAAACAAGTTTCAACTTTATCTTTAAGTTTAATGGTTTAGATTATGAAGGATAATGGATATTTCATTTAATTTCCATACAACCAATAAACGGAGTTGTTATAGTTGAAGCAAGTGATTAAAATAAATAATTTCAAATTTTGTCTTCCAAAGTTTAGCAAAATTTAAAAATTATTTTAGGAGGCAGAGGCTATGTAAATATATTTATATAATTATTAGATAAATGGCTAGAACTTCAATACATTTAGAGGATTGTTATCAAAATTAATATTTTTGCCAAACTTCAGTTATTCAGACATTTTATTTGAAAATACTTAAACGGATAATTAAATTCCATTAAAATCTTTAATCGAAGAATAGATATATATCATACAAGGTCTATAAGAATTTAAAGGATATTAGGCTTAAGAAATAGCTATTGATTAATATGGAAAAAGGTATTGTTTGTCTGGTTGGGTTAAATATAATTATTAAAATACTGAAGAAGAAAAATATACATTAATACGAATGACTAATTTTTTAAATTATGAGGATAAGTAAAAATTAGGGGATGAATTATTTGGTTTTGAGATATTGATCTCAAAATTCTAACCATAATTAACAAAGATTTTTGTACATGCTGATGCTTATAGTATGCCTGTTTAATAATCATTTGAATCCTAATATGATTTAACATTTTAAGGAATTTAGAATGAGAATTATAAGGTAGTTTAATCTACAAAGACATTAGAGTACTTAGAAGATTATAGATATTATGAAGGATTATAACAATGGCATTTTATTTAATATGAATATGGTAGAAGTAATTTTGATGAAAAAATGTTACTTTAATTACAATTTTATAATCAATTAGGTTTGATAAGAGAATAATTGGGAAATGACATTTTTAGAGGTTCATTTATAAATAGCAAATTTAATATATTTTTAGGTGGAGATAATTTTAATCATAATTTTTTATAAGCTTATGTTTATGATTTCAAAATTGAATATAATTATTATGAAGATAAAGTTTTACTTTTAAGTATAGATCTATAAATTATTTAGATTGTCATTATTCTTGTTTAACATGTAAAGGACCTTAAGAAAATGATTGTATTAATTGTGATGAAAATACTAATAGATATTTTTAGAGTGAGGTTTCTATGTGTAAATGTAAATAAGGATATTTCGATTTTGGATAGAGAATTTGCACTAATCAATATTATTCATCAGTTTCAATTTAAGAAATAGAAATTTAAATTCCCAATATTTGTCCATTTGGTTATTTCAAACTTCCTCTAAATAATACTAATTATAAATGCATAGAATGGTATATTTTTAACTTAATAAATATTTAGTCCTCAAAAATTAAAGAATTAATTTATATGTGCAGAATGCTATTTCTATTCTAAAACATGGTACTTAAGACCAGTTTGTAAATAGGATCTTATTACTTTAAAAAATAATAAAGATGATACATTTCATTTAATTGCTAGAAATCCAATAGATTATGATTTATATTCAATCAATTTGGATAGAGAATTGATGTATCATTTTGAATTTTAGGATTATTGTATTTATAATGCTGCAACAATGAATCAGTGTTATACATTTCCTCATTATCATTTAGGGAATTAAGCATAAATGATATGTAAAGAAAATTACTTTGTTGATATTGATAATTTTAGATGTATAAAATTTAGACAAAAATGTAAAGAATTTGATTCTTTAGGAAATTGTTGGGGTTGTTTTCCTGGAAAATACTATATTTGGAATAAATGTATAGAATGTCCTATTGGATGTTCTACATGTGAGAATCTAAATTATTATGAAAATCAACCTATTTGTTAAACTTGTACAACAAAATTCTATAATTTTATTGATGGATAATGTAAAATGTGTGGTCAATATTGTGAATTGTGTGAAAGATATTATGATGATTAAATTGATTAAGAGTATTTAAGATGTATAAAATGTATAGATGATTCAAAATATCACTTATCTCTTGATGGTAAATAATGTTTATATAATTAAATACCCAATTGTATTCATGCATTTTAAGCTTTACGTGATGATATGACTATAAATACTCTTGATCTTAAATTTTAACCATAATTTGATTACAATCAAATAATAACATTATGTGCTAAATGTGAAACATCATATGTTTTTGTATTTGAAATTAATAAATGTATTGAGAATACTAAAGAATAAGATTGTTAAGTTGGTATAGGATAACTTAATGAAATTGATCAATCCTTAGAATCTATTATATGTTTAAGTTCAACTAAGTAAAAAAATGATGTAGTCTAATTTACTGAAAAATGTTTTAGTTATAATAATAATTGTTAAGTTTGTTTACAGACTCACATTATTGATTCTTATGCCTGTTTAGAATGTGTGAATGGTTATTATGTTTCAATACCTTCTGGTTAATGTATAGGATGTCCACCTGAATTAAAATGTAAATCTTGTTATTCATAACATTCTATATTAAAAGATAGATGGAAAATATTGGTAAGATCATTTTATAGAAAATATATTGAAAATAATAGTTTTCATTAATATATTGTATATGGTTAAACTTAAAATTCTAATGATTATGAAATACTATGCTCTTCTTGTATAGATGGTTTTAAATTGCATAATAATATATGTCTTGAATATTGTTAAGATGATTGTATGGAATGTATATTTTTGAATGATAAATATATTTGTAATAAATGTTTTTATGAATAAAGGGGAAGAAGATTGACATTAATTGATAATAAATGTATAGAATGTCCTGAAAATTGTGCTCTTTGTAGAATTAGAACAAATGAAGAAATCTAATAAATCAATCCTCTATTTAATAATCCAAAATATATTAAATATACATATTAATGTATCAAAAGTTACGAAGATTAAAGTTATTATTATGATTAAGATTTTGGATTATTTATTGAATGTAAATAAAATGATTAAGGTAATGGATGTTATAAATAACTAATTATTACTTTAAATCTATATTCTAATTATAATGAATATTATAATGACTTATTTGAATAACCAGATGAAGAATCTAAGATTAAATTTTAAAAGGAAAATATATTAATTTCAAATCTATTATCATATGAAAGTAGCTTTATTGAAGTAATATTAATATTATAATTATTTTTAGTTTGAAAATGATTAATTTTACACATTAGCTAATTCTAAATTAATTAAGACTATAATAATAAAAATAATAAGTAAAAAATAAATACGTAATAATTTAACTAATGGTGGATTAATAGTATCCAAATTTTAACAGAACATATTTACATTATAGTATTTATATTAAATTAATAATTAGAAAAGTTGAAATAGAATTTATCTTTGAACTTGAGACTATTTTATTACCTTAATTTGATTTCGAATTCATCAATTTTTCAAAAATTACTCTTTAAAATATTAGACTAGAAATCACATCACCATCTAAATTTATATTTAAAAGCTCTTTTCCACAAACAATAATATTAAATGATATTTCATTTGAAATAGGTAATTTAGTTAATTTTCATTATGTAAATTTTTAATTTACTTTCAATAATGTAAGCACTCTTTTGGTTAATAATATGTATTTTTATAATATTTCATTACTTGCCAAAGATTATTTCATGAATATATAGGAAACTAATTATCCTAAAACCATAATATTCAAAAACATAACATTATTATCAGTTGACATACAAACAATCTTTTTAGATTTAGGTTTAGGCTATCAAGATTATGTTGAGATAAATACAGTAAAAATATAATCAAATAATATTAATTAAAATATCATTAAAGTTTCATAAAATAATGAATATGGTGAACTTAAATTAAAGAATGTTATTTTGAGTGGTAGTTAAATATCAGATTCTTAATATATTTTTGATTTTGAAAGAGTTCTTCTCTTAGAAATTAATAACTTTTAAATGTTTTAAACTATTTTGATTAATACAACCTTAATCTTATTAAATAGAAATAGTTAATTAGAAAATATTAAATTTTAAGATAGTTAATTTCTTAAGAAATCTATTGGTATGAAAAATAATAATAATTTCTATGAATACAATATTAATTAGATATTTACAAATATATTATTTGAGAATAATCAATATGATAATTTAATCTAATTTATATACTTAAAGAAATATTTAAGTTAATAATCAAATATTACAATTAATTATTTAAATTAAATAAATAATTATTTTATTAAAGATTCATTAAATTAATATAGAAAACAAGTTAATTTTTCATTAATTATCATTTAATATGATTATGTGAAAATATCTAATTTAGTTATTGAACGTGGTTTTGGTTTAAATGATATTACACTTTATGATTGTTAAGAGATTAAAATTTAAAATGGTACTTTTCAACAATAGAAATATCGATTTTTAGGATTACATAAATATATAGATTGTTAATTAAAATAAGTTAATGCTTAATATTATTCAACTACATTAAGTATTGCTACAACTAAAATAATAGAATTGAAAAATCTAACATTCTCTAAAGTTCAATCTTACAACTCTCCCATAATAGCAATCGATTCTGCTGATTAAAAATTAATTAATTAAAGTGAAATTATTATATTATAGGATATATCATTTAGTTCTAATATAATTCTATTTACAGAATTGATATTTAAATCCTCACTAATTTCTATATCTTCATATTAACAAAACAATATAAAAATAAACAATATTACATTCCAAAATAATGTTTACAATCAATATACTTAATTTGATTTAACAACTACTGCAGGATTATTATTAATTATTTGTCCTTATTGTAAAGTACAATTAATCAATTCACTCTTCTTAAACAATATAGTATTAAACAGTAGATCAAGTATTATTTATATTCAAACATAGAACTTATAAATTACTGATTGTAATTTTTACAATAATAGTATATTTATATATAATGTACTCTAACCTCACATATATTGGGGTTTTACTTCTCAAATATCAGAATAAGTTATTGAATCAAATTTTGAATCGAAATCTAAATCTGGAATTGGAGAATTATTAGTTGAATAAATCTTGATTTAAAATAACAGTTTTATAAATTCATCAGGATCAACTGGAGGATGTTTCTCTGTTTTCTCTTATGGAAGTTCTGAGATTTTGATATAAAATAACCTTTTTGAATCAATTTCTACTAAATTTCTAAATGATTTAGAATATGGAGGTGTCATTTATATAGATGGATCATCTTCTTCATAACTTAAAGTAGAAATAAATAACAATATTGGCAATAGAATATACTGTAGAGGATTTGGAGGTTTTGTATATTTGAAATCTAATACATCTTAATCAAATTTAACAATTTTAAATTTAAATTTAGAGGATATATATGCTCAATAAGGATCAGCAATCTATGTTTCTTATTCAAAATTTGTAGAAAGTCCTTAAATTTTATTAGTTTAAAAACTTTTTGTATCCAATACTTAAATTGGTTATCTTAATTTTTTAAATAAATTTAAAGAATTTTCTAGTCAATAAGAAATCTAGTATTTAATAAATAATAGATCTCTTATATATTTAGAACATGGATCTTTGATTTAAATAAATGAAGTTAAGATAAGTAATATAATTTTAGAATCTTTATTGATTTTGTAACAATCTAAATCAGTTTATCTATCTCAAATTTAAGTGTAAAATTCTTACATTAGTAATAATTTAATATCAGTATTTTCATTTACAAGTAGATATATATAATATTAATTTAGCAACTAATCAGGAATTAATTCTTTAGAATTCAATATTCAGATCTATTTAAATTGGATTTAACTTTACTAATGAAACTGATATCAAATGTATAAACATAAATCCATCATCAAATGATATGATATATTAATGTTTAAATGATTTCATTAAAGCTCCTATTCAATTAAATAGTAATGAATAAAAAGGATATTATAATAAAGCCTATTGTGTATTTTAAGAAATGATTTCATATATAGATTAATAGAATTCAGGATTAATTTTATTTAATAATTTTACTAACCAAAATAAAATTTAAATTAATTCTGTTACATTAGTTGATATAATTTGTACAATATGTTAAAATGGACTAATATATTTATAATTCTAACCTTAAGTATCTTTAATTTAATAGTAATTGATTACATCACTCTATGTACAAAATTGTTCTTGTGGTAAATAAGGATGCTTAAATGTTATACAACTATCAAATAACGATAATAGAATTCTCAATTAATAAGAACTTTATTCTTTAAATTATGAGTTAAAAATAAGATACTATATTTGTTAGTATAATATTGCTACATAAGGAACTTGTTTAAAAATAAATTCATTCTTGGCTCTATTATAAGATAGTCTTTTTTAATTCAATGAAGCTTTTCAAGAAGGAGGGTCTATTTATATAAAAGGAAATAAAAATTTAATAATTGAAGATAGTGTAATTTAATTCAATAAGGGATCTATTGGAGGAGGATTGTATTTTTCAGATTAAGTTGCAATAAATTTATTGGATAATAAAACTAAAATAATAAAGAATTCTGCAGAATTTTATGGAAATAATATAGCTTCTAATCCTTAATAACTTACAATATAAATAAGAAAGGATTCTTAAGCATTATCTGCAATAACTAAAATTTCAAATTCGACTATAAAAATATAAGAAATTTAATTAAAACCATATATTGGTTTAAATGGAAATATATTGAAACATATATATTTACCAACAGGATAGAAAATATCATCTTATAAAATTTTTGATTGGAAAAACAAATTGTATTATTAATCAAATTAGATTTTGAGAATATTAGCTTTAGATGGTGATCTAAATATTATTTAAAATCTAAAAAATACTGAATGTTTTATAGAAAGTAGAATATTTGATGAATCAAAATAAGAGGATTAAGATTTTACAAATAATTATACTAATATTTAACGAATAAGTTTTAATTTAGATACATAAACTTATAATCTTGATGATTTAATTGTTTATTTTGATAATTCTGTTCCTCAAGAGATTGTTCTTTAATTGTAGTTTACTNAATTTTATTTAATAATTTTACTAACCAAAATAAAATTTAAATTAATTCTGTTACATTAGTTGATATAATTTGTACAATATGTTAAAATGGACTAATATATTTATAATTCTAACCTTAAGTATCTTTAATTTAATAGTATTATTAAGTTATTATTTAAATATATTTAATTTTACTTTAAATTTTAATATCCTATAATTGATTACATCACTCTATGTACAAAATTGTTCTTGTGGTAAATAAGGATGCTTAAATGTTATACAACTATCAAATAACGATAATAGAATTCTCAATTAATAAGAACTTTATTCTTTAAATTATGAGTTAAAAATAAGATACTATATTTGTTAGTATAATATTGCTACATAAGGAACTTGTTTAAAAATAAATTCATTCTTGGCTCTATTATAAGATAGTCTTTTTTAATTCAATGAAGCTTTTCAAGAAGGAGGGTCTATTTATATAAAAGGAAATAAAAATTTAATAATTGAAGATAGTGTAATTTAATTCAATAAGGGATCTATTGGAGGAGGATTGTATTTTTCAGATTAAGTTGCAATAAATTTATTGGATAATAAAACTAAAATAATAAAGAATTCTGCAGAATTTTATGGAAATAATATAGCTTCTAATCCTTAATAACTTACAATATAAATAAGAAAGGATTCTTAAGCATTATCTGCAATAACTAAAATTTCAAATTCGACTATAAAAATATAAGAAATTTAATTAAAACCATATATTGGTTTAAATGGAAATATATTGAAACATATATATTTACCAACAGGATAGAAAATATCATCTTATAAAATTTTTGATTGGAAAAACAAATTGTATTATTAATCAAATTAGATTTTGAGAATATTAGCTTTAGATGGTGATCTAAATATTATTTAAAATCTAAAAAATACTGAATGTTTTATAGAAAGTAGAATATTTGATGAATCAAAATAAGAGGATTAAGATTTTACAAATAATTATACTAATATTTAACGAATAAGTTTTAATTTAGATACATAAACTTATAATCTTGATGATTTAATTGTTTATTTTGATAATTCTGTTCCTCAAGAGATTGTTCTTTAATTGTAGTTTACTTGTAATTCAATTAAAGTTCCTATTTACAATACTTAATATCCATATGAAATTATTGATTATCATTCAAATTATAAACTTAGAGTTAATGTAAAAACATATGAATGTCAATATGGAGAAATTAAAAATATGACAGGTTTCTCATGTGAAAAATGCGATTCTGATTAAGGTTTATACTCATTAACACTAAAATCATAAAAATGTGATATTAAAGATGAGATAACAACTTTGAGTATTAAAGATAATCAATTAGTATTGAGACAAGGATACTGGAGACCATATTTTGATACAAGAGCAATTCATTTTTGTCTTAATCTACAAAAAAATTGTTTGGGAGGAATAAAGGAAGGGGATAGTTCATGTTATATAGGTCATATTGGTGCACTTTGTGAATAATGTGATCTATATAATATAAGAGGAGATGGATAATATTCAATTGTTAAGAAATTTTAATGTGGTCCTTGTGCTGAGAAAGAGAGAAATATATTTGTAATTTTAGGAATAGTTATTTTGACTCTTGTATTTCTTTTGATTTCAATTTAAGGAAATAGGAAAACAATGGAAGAATTTACAAAATCTTCAGTTTTTAAAATATATAGATATTAAGTTTATTTGAACAAGAATTAATCTGGAACTTTAATTAAGATGTTAACTAATTACTTTCAAATTATTGTTTCCATTACTACATTTTAATTATAATTTTCTACAGGATTAAATAATACTTTAAATGTTGTTGGAAATCCACTTTAAACTTCATCTTATTCTCTTGATTGTTTCTTAGTTGAATTCAAAGACTTATAAATAGAATATGCTCGAATGATTTGGTAGATGATTTTACCTTTATTGTATATCATTGTTTTTATTTGTATCTACTTTCTAGCTATTTTAATAAAGAAGGATAAATTTAACCCTAGTATTGCTGCAACAGCTGCAATTTATATCTACATCTATGTATAACCAAATTTAATTAATGGATTCATTGAACTTATTTCATACAGAAATATTTCAGGTTTCAAATGGATTTAAGCTAATGTATCTTAAAGATATGATACTATAACACATACAAGGTGGATGTTCGAATTTTGTTTACCTCTTATTACATTAATAGCAATCATAATCCCATGTTTCTTTTTCTTTGGACTTTATACTAATAAATATCATTTTTAAAAGAAAAGTGTAATGTCACGTTGGGGTTATTTATATAATGAATATAAAAAAGAGGCTTATTTTTGGGAATTGATTAAAATTATCTAGAAGGAATTAATTATACTCTCACTTGTTTATTATGAAGATACAGTTGTTATGAAAGGAATACTTGTACTTTTTATAACATATGTTTATTAAGAATTAAATGCTCTCTATTAACCATATCAATTAAATAATCTAAATTAATTGGATTATTATTCAGCAAATATAAGTATGATTACTATTGGATTAGCCATAGGAACTTATATATCTTAATAAGTCCACCTTATAGAACTTTAGATACCATTCTTTTTTATAATGGCCTTATAAAACTTTCTATTTCTAAGTAAAATTATTAGTAAAATCATATTGGAATACTCTAAATAATATGAAATTTTATTAGATAAAATTAAGGAAATAATTAAAAAAAGATTCCCATAAATTGATCAATATCCATTTTTGAAAAGACTATTTAAAAGTAGAGTAGAATAAAGAAAGAATGCTTTATTGTTGTTTTAAAAACTAAGAAATTTTGGAATTCCTTTTGCAAAATAAATTATTTAAATGAGATAAACTAATTTTGATTAAAACAGCTCAAAAAGAAAATCAATATCAACTTAGGATGGATTTTATAATAGCAAAAATAAGGGAATTTAATATTAGAAAAGTGTTCTTAAAATTAAATCTATTTCTAAAAAAATATGAATTTATTATTAAATTATTTAATTATGTTAAAGTATTTTAATTTTTCATTAATGCTTAATAAAATATATTATAATACCTAATAATCTTAACAAATTAATCAAAATATATTAAAATATGAATAATCATGTCATACTTCCTAATATTCTAAAATTTTCAATATGACTTAAAAAATGCCTATCACAATCATCAGTTATTCTAAGTCCTACTAATTAATCAAATTTATATGTTTTATATTCCTTTAAAAATATTTGTTCTGATTTGCAATGAAATTCACTATTATCAATTGATATTCTCCAATCTGATTTTAGATATCTATAAGTTTATCTTTTTGACTTTGGAAATTGATATTCAGTCCATTCTTTAAGAAGTTTTTCTATTTATTGAGATTTAGAACCCTTAAAATAATCATCAGAATAAATAAAAAACAGTTATTTTTATGTTAAAATCTTTACTCTTTCTTCCCATCTATCTTACTTTAAAGTTTTTTCTTTGGTAATTAAATATTCATAATATTTCGATTAATTAGGATTTAATGATATTAACAATGAATTAAATTTAAAAAATAATCGTTTCTCTTTATAAAATTATAACAAATGATCTTATATGGAATTAATGAAATTAGTAAACAATTTATAAAACTTTTCAAAACCTAATTTATATGTTTTTAATTCTATTTCTTCCATTAATTATTCAAATTAATTTATTTAAGTTTAAACTTCATTTAATTCTTGTTCATGATCTTTAAGAATCTTTTCAATAATATTACTACTCTTTTGACCATTCTTTATTTTATAGACATATTAATTTGATAAATGTGTCCAATATTTACTATTCTTATCAAGTTACTAATATATCTAATTTTCTCTTTTTTATACATTTAAATTAAATTCACGAATCCCAAATGTTTCTCTTTTGTATAATTCTAAAAATAATGTTTACAATTCTTATTTTATATCAGCAAATTCCCATTAATTCTAAATAAAAGGAGAACTAAGATAATTTAAAAATTGATTATAACAATTCCTGATCAAATTAAGTTTATTGATATTAAGTTTATTGGATAAATAATTTTATAGAAGCATTTAATAACTATTTTTCCCCATTTCCCATAAAAATTAATTTTTTTATATTTTACATTCTTAAAATAAAATACTTGTATTAAATTTAAGATACCAAGAATATTTCATAGTTGGTATCATTTTGAAAACAGGTGAAGACATTCCATTTATAATTTCTATATTAGATAATAAGATATCCTTTTATTTAGGATAATCATCTATGCAATCTGGAAATAAAAAGACTATATTATTAATTTAACAATTTGAAAAATTACTCATGATAGATTCTAACATAAAGAATGAACCTATTTAAATTTATTGTTGTATTACAAAACCAATTAAAATATTTTGATTAATTGAAGCTGAACTCTAAATAACATTATATATTCTATTGAATATTTTTTGATCATTATAACTAAGATCATCACAATAATCAGGTGTATTTATAATTCTAAGTCCTTATTTTCCATATTATGGTGTAATATAATATACTTTCATTTGTTCATATTCATTATTTTAATCCTCTTTAATTATTTCAATATCATCAACTATTTCAAATCTATAAGGATCTGAAAATTCAACTTCTTAATAATAATTTAATAATAAATTTATTAGTTCCTATTTTTATGAAGTTTAAGTTCCAATTAGAATTATAGTAGTGTATTCTTCTAGATTTTCAATAGATGATTTATAATAGATTGGATATTGATGAATATCAAAATCATTTTCCTTTCTTAATTTATGAGTTTTATCTATCAAATCATGATATTTGTATTTTTTCATCTTTTATTTTTTTACTTAATCCACTTAATTTCCTACTTTTCCATGTTTTTCTTATTATAATTATTCTTTTTAGTCTATAAATTAATTTTACGTTGACTATGTTTCGATGTCTTTACTTTTAATTTATATCTCAAAATTTGTAAATAATTAAAACATTGGTTCCATTTATGTTGTTAGATTTTAAATTGTTTAATTCAAAGGTTATGATTATTATTAGAGTTTCAATAAATTAGATACATATTTTTCAAACTCATCATTATTAATTTTTTTTTATGATTTCTCCAAATCCAAAAATAAATATTTTTCTGCTTATCTCATTATATCAGCATTCTATATCATCTTTTGTGACTACAATTAATAATATGAGAATATATCTTATTACCACTTCTAAATTTCTTTTAATGTCTATAGATCTTATTTATGTTAAATGTGATTTTCTATACAATCTAAACAACAAACTCTTTTTATCTGGCAATCAATATTAAAACAAACTAATATTATCTCCTTTTAATTATCTTCTGATTCTTAACACTTTAACATTTTTTATAAATAGATATATTATTAATAAATGATTTAATTATTTTATTCAATTTTATAATGTCAAATTTTCCCGCAATTTAATTGGACATTAATATATAACTAAGAAAATGAATAAAGTTAAATTTAATTGTATATTCCACATAAAATAAAATATTTAAATATATTAGATAGACATTTATAATATTAAAAATTTAACCTTTTTTAAACTAACTGTTTCACCAAACAATTAAAAGATCATATAAATGAATTCATGAGATGAATTAAAAACAATTTAAATATTGAATTTCTATTATTCTAACTTTAAGTTATATAATCATAATTAGTAACTAATAAATAAACATTTAGTTACTGATTACGCATTAACATTTTATAAATTATAATTCAGCTTCTTTTTTGATTCAAAAACAGTTAATGGTTGAAATTAAAAAAGAAATTTATCTATTAAGAAAAGTATGAAATTCTTTATAAACTAAAAATTAAGGCAGTTATGGTGCTTATATAGAAAATTATTAATTGAATACAAATTTGGTTATTAATAAGATATTGATTTTATTATACTATAATTGAATAATGAAATAGATATTGTTGTATAAATTGATGTTTATAAAAATACTTGTTCTTTATTATAATAAATATTCCATCATCTCTCTAAAAATAAATTGATATTCTTGCTTTCTTTATTTATAGTCTATAATTTCAATATGAAATAGAAGCAGAAAATCAATTATTTTTAAAAACCTATATTTGTTAAACAAAACTATCTAATTTTCTAATTTGAAAATATAACACATTTTCTAATAAATTCAAATCATAAAAATTCATTTATCTAATCTTTGAAATAAATTTATTGGCTCATCAATGAAGTTTGATTTATTGATCAATTTAGAAAATATTATTTTTTAATGGATATGGTTGAAATAACTTAAATAGTGAAATATTATTAGATTTTAATTGATAATAATTATAGAATAAATAAGAGAGATGGAAGATAAAATTTAGAATTATTGGTAAAATTTAATGAATAAGTTATTTCTTAAGCTCAAGTTTATGATGATGGAATTATTTTGACGATAAAAGGTAAAGTAATTTGAATTAAGACTAAAAAGATAAAGAGGTATTTTAAATTATTATCATCTTTTAAATGGAGGAGAATTCTATAATTAGCAGGGAGTTTAGGATGTAAGATGGATTTTCCGATTTCTCCTAGATTATTGATTGTGGTTATTATAAAAATGGAAAAAAATTGGCAATGGGATAAATTCGATATGAAGAAAGAAAATGAATAGCTTAATTATCTGGAAAATATAGAAACTAAAATTATATTGAAGTAATTTATTTACTCATTTGATAATTTTATTCAAAGATTAATTTAATAAACTCAAGTCAGTGGATAATCTTTTGTATAGTAACCGAAGAAATTTACTAAATATATGTTTGTGAATACAAAATTTTCTAAAAATACTAAAGTTGAATTCCTTAGTTTTTAATAGTATAAATTGATAATATGTTAATTTTAACATTAGTTAAGACACTATCATTTTTGATTTTTATCAGTTTCATTGGAACATATGTCCCAATTTTAGAAGTTGAGATCAATATTATCATTATTCTTATTATTCTTAGTATTTTTTTTTTCAATCATTTACAAATAATTTAATGGTTAATTCATTATTTTCTATGTCTTATAATAATAGATATTTATAATTAAATTTATATTAACTATAATCAGAATCATATCAAATACCATTTTTTGAATAGAAAATAATTTTATTAAAATAATGTTGAAATTTTAACATTATACAAAATTACTGAATTGATATCAAAATTTCAAATTAAATTAATATTGTCATAGTAAAAAAATATTTGAATAACGAATTTCAATTTGATTATAGTATTTAAATTTAAAAGAGAAATATTTTATTTATTACTTAGATCAATATTCTTACTTTTAATAAAATATCTACACAAGTATCTTATATTATAAAACTTATTTATTGAATTAAATAATAATAACTTTGGAAGTATATATTCCAAACCTAACCAAAATCCTTAGATCATGTTACAATAATTGTTTCATCATAATGTTATGTAACTTTGAGAGATTTTTATCTATATATAATAATTCGAGATTTCTTTCAATAAATGCGAATATGAGTTTAAAACTTTATTCTACTGTTTTTAATTATACTTTACTATTTCAATGATCAAGCTGAAGTTCGATAGAAATTAATAAATTATTTAATCAATATTAGAATATCATTAATAAAATAAATTATTAAATTTATTATTATTATTCTAATTAGCCTGAACTTCCAATTGATCCGTCCTGCTTTTCAAGAATTAAATAAGAATTTATCTATTTTACACTAGGCTAAAAAAAAGGATGCTTATGTTCCTGTTGTAAATTATCAGACTAGAAAATCATCTAATTTCATAATTAATATATCCCCAGTTTTTCAATTATCATTTTTGTGGATAATATCCAGATCAAGTTGTTCATCAAAATTAAATTATTTCAGTATAGATTTAACCTTAATTTAAAAAATGATATTCGAATCCAACCAAGTTTGGTTTCTGAAGAAATCAAAGTCTCAACAAAATTTTAAATCTGGGAATATAAAAGGAAACGAAAATTTATAATTTGCATTAATTGTATTTGAATCAATTGATTTTAATAATTTTTTTGTATTTCATTTAGACAAATTTTTAGAAAATTAAATTATAAAAAAATTAATTTTTGATAAGTTTTTTAATCCAGATTTGGAAATCTTAAATCTATAAAAAAATTATGGAAAGTTTAAGAAATTAATTGATTTCAGTAGTGGTAGAATAGATATTTGATTTATTGAGCAGTTAGTTGTTTAAGAATTTTCTTACTCTATAGCTTAAAAATAAATCAATTACAATATGATAGTATCAAGCTAATGTTAAAATATTTATAATCTCATAAATCTTTGATTAATAAAAGAGTCTTCTATTCAATTTACATAAATTAATCAAATTGTTCATCAACCAATTCACATATAAACAATTTATACTATTATTTTATTAATAACCAAATTTTAGTGATACAGATATTCAAAATATTATCAAAAATTGATATGATGAAATAAGTCCTTTTAAGATATAGGACATAAGAATTTTAAAAAATATTATGTTTTGTAATCAAATAAATTTCATAAAGAGAAATCCTAATTTTTTATTGATTTATGAAATACTAGTTTTAAAATTCATTTTGAATATAAAAACCTAATAAAAATAAATGTTATCAAAAAGAATTTAAAAATTTATCAAACAATAAAAAAATTTTTTTTCCTTCTTAGCTTAAATAGTGATATTTTATTATTAATCTACATATCAACTTGCCATCTATTTTAATATAGTAAATATATAGTATGTTGTAAATTAATTTAACTTTTAGAAAAATTTGCTTTTGAATTCTCAAATTTCTAAAATGAAGTTCGATGAAATGTTTTTATAATTATATATTCAATATTAAATAGGGTCTAAAGGCCTTAATTAATATAAATTTTTATAATTATGAAAAAGGCCAATTTAGTTTTAAAGTAATAATATACTTATAACTCCATCAAATTAATAATATCAGTTAATTAATGCAAGAATACTATTGGATTGATGTGATCATTTAGGAATTCTAATATTAATTAAAATTATTTAAGATTTATATAAATATTTATTCAAAAGTCATAGGACTTAAGGTGTCCTTAAAAAAGGTCTTCATTTAAGCCTAAATCTAGGAGTCCTTAAAAGCCATATCAATTAATCCTATAAAAAGCCTATTATAATAAGGGTGCACCTTCAAGCAACATCTTGTATTTCGCTTTTCATAATACGAAGATGTTTCTTAGGAGATTGCATCAAAGCTCTGAATTAGGATAATTCTTACCTTAACAATTAACAGTAAAGGAATTTACTGTAAAGAATTCAAATTCAACTAATTTTTTGAATTGAATTTCATATCAATTAAGGATTATATTAGAATAATTAAAATTTAGATTATCTTATGTTTAGATCATTATCACAGGGATCAATTTTGATTGTAATAAAAAAGAACATAATGAAAGTGAAAAAATTTAAGATTCAATATTGGTCACTGTTATGAAACTAAGCGCCTAATAGATATTGACTAAATTTCAATCGTTTTAGTATCATCCATTAAAAAATTGAGGATTATAATTAGTATTTTTTAATTTATTTATCTAATTAGATATAAATTGATGTATTATTTTATACTAATTTATATTAATACATATAAAGATTGTTATTTATAATTGATTAAAAAATTAAAGTTCACCCTTATAGCTGTCTATCATTATTTCTAATTCTTAATAATAATATTACACTAGAGAAAACCAAATGAACTAATATTGTAAAAATTAGATAAATTCTAATTGATTTGTAAATTTATTAATAATAATATAATATAAGCAGATTTTAATTATTTAGAATAATATTCCTTTATATGAATGGAAATTTAGAAGGTTATCAGTTAAATTATCTAAGTAAAGAAAAAGAATATTGTTAAATGAATTTATTGTCTACAAATTTGTAAAAAATACAAAATCTATATTCATTTTCTCTTAATTTAGATTAAATAAATGGATATCATATTAAAAATACATTGAAAAAGTATTTATCAAATATTCTACCTTCTAAATTAGCATTTTTAAAATAAATTTGATATTAAAAAATAAAACAAGATTATCCTTTAATATTTAATATTAAATATTATCTGAAACTAATAATTAAATAAAATAATTATATATTCTATTCTTTATATGATAGAATGATTTTCGTGATTATTATAAGTAATTATTGGAAAAGCCAATAATTTTGTTATGAAGTCTAATGATAGAAATTAAATAATATTATAATTCTCAAACAAAATTATTATTATCATTAATTAAGTAAATGTCGTTTCTATTAATGAATCATTTTTGAAATAGATTTTTTTTATATAAAAAACCTATTTAATGAGTATTTCTTCTAATTAATAAAAAATTTAATTATGGATAAAGTTCAAAAAGATAAGAAAACTTAATTTAGAGATAAATATATTATAACAGAAGATGATTATTATGGTGAAGGCTGTTTTGGTAAAGTATATGCATGTAAACAGATTAATGATTCTGATCATACGTTATATTGTGCCAAAGCCATACCAATTAATGTAAATTAGGATTTGAATAATGAAAATGAAAAAATAATAAATAATACAATTGCTTAGTTAAATTCAAATCAGCATAAATCAATTAATTTAGTGTAAATATATGACATCTATTTTGATTCATCTGTTTTATTTATTGTAATGGAAAGATGTGATGAAGATTTATCAATTGAATTCAATAAACTTTAGGAAGAAAATACTTGGTATACAGAGGAAGAAGTATTTGATCTGATCCAATAATTAATTTCAGGTTTGAAATAATTAAACTCAAGTGTTATAATGCATTAAAACATAAAACCAGAGAATATTTTAATTAAATATGAAAACAAAGGGTAAATGAATGAGAGAAAGATATATAAAGTAGTTTCATGATCATATTTAGATTGCTGACTATGAAATTAGTATTTTGATTTCAAAACTAACATAAAAACAAGACCTGATAAGAACTGGATCTCCAAATTATACAGCACCTCAAGTATTTGAAGATGATGTGATATAATCTGAAAAAAGTGATATATTTTCATTCGGCATACTAATTTATTAAATTTGCTATAAAGCTTAATTTCCTTATGATTGTAGTTCAATAAACAAAAGATATTAAAGTTTATAATATCTAAAAAATAATGCTTTTAAAGCTCCACCTCTTAATTATAGTAGAGGAGAATAACTCCAAAATCTTTTAGAGAGTATGATTGTTTATAATGAAAACCAAAGAATTTCATTTGCTGAACTCTTTACTCATACTGTAATGAAATGTAAAGGTTTGGATGATACTGTAATTATGAATAGTGAATATATTTATAGTGAAAGTAGTAGTTTTAGAAGTTAAAAACTATTTGATAAATCTATTCATTTAGAGAAAAAGAAAAAAAATTAAATTTTATTGTTGTTATAAAGATTATAATTATTGTTAGAATCATTTCTCGATAAATTTTAAATTTGTCAGTAATTAATAGAATAAATTGAAGATAATGATGAATTTTTATTTTTTAAATTGAATATTTATTTAATAGGCAATTATTAATTGTTATATGCACTTGCTTTAATTTACATAAGACCTTTAGAATTACATCCAAGCATTTTAAAATATAATGATTAATTAATGCTTATAGAGAAATTAAATGAAGCATAAAAAGGAATTAAAATATATAATCCAGATACTTAAATCTATAAAAATCTTTAGGATTCAATTCAATTACAATATCATAAATTTGCAAATTAATCTAAAAGATTTTATATTGATATTAAAAAGAGAAAAGATCTTTCTAAAGAATTAAAGTAGTTTATGAAACAAGCAGTATCTAGAAGAATCGAATTAACAATATTACTAGAAAATATTAATAATTTTCTAAAAACTTATCTAAATAAAATCCCTAAAAATCTATAATAGTTATTAGAATAGGTAGTTAAATTTGGTAGTCTATCCCCAATTAGTCATTATCAAAAAGATATAGATCAATAATTCCAGACATCCGTATAAATTGGATAAATATGATTATTATCTAATATTATTGGAAATTAATAAATTTAGGTTATTAATTTTAAAAGATTCTTTTTTTAATACTTTATTATTTTTATTATAATCCTTATAAATTAGATTAATTGAATTTTTATTTCTCTTCAGATATTCCTTTTTAACATATAGCAATTGAACCAATTGATAAGGAATAATGGTTGTAGATATAAGAAAAATAACATAATTAATTCTTATTAATAAATCTTTAGATTAACTTAAAATTGATAATTATCTAGAAATAAGATATTATAATATAATAATTCACATAATTGCATAATAATGAAAGAGTTCATCCAATTTTTAATGTCCAACGAAAAAGTACACTAGTTAATTAAATGGATCAATTCTTTAATCTCTTATTTATATAATAATATGCTTCAAAATAATTATTCTTAAGAATATCATAATTGGATCAAGAATGACATAAAATAATAAGAATGAGACTATTAAAATAATAGAAATTTCTATATTAATTATGTAAAGGTCTTCTTAACTAAAAAATATAACATTTTATATACCATTATTTCAATTAAAGAATAAATTCCAGATAACAAAAGAGATGTATAAGTAAATATATAATAACAATAAAAATACTCCATTTTCCATTAAATCTGTAAATTGATTACAATATCTTTAAAATCATTCTAATAAATAGGAAGGTTCCACAATTTATAAGTAAAATTGAAAATATTGTAATTTAATCTAACAAAGATTTCTCGAAAAATGAGAATGGGATTAACAAACTTATTTTGATTGATAATTATAAAAATCTATAACTTTTTGAAAGGATTGTATTTTTTGTATAAAGAAGGATAATATTTCATGAATAAACTAGATATTATAAAATAAAACTTACTTTAAATGATTTTTTAAATATAGAGAAATTTCCTGGATAAAAATTTAATGCCTTATTAGATTTTTCTTTTCTTTGAGTTTCATCTACACTTACATCTGAATCTACTCTTGTAAATGTAAGAGTTTATTTTGATTTAATTTCGATAGAGATTAGTTAAAAATAAAAGAAGAAAGAAAAAGCAATAAAAATGCCATGAAATAGTAGAATAGGTTATTCACTTAATTATAAGTTTGAATTATCCACTCTATATTCATTATAAATATTCAATGGGATATTTTATTAAATAATTGAGTAGTTAAGGTATTTGATTAAATAGATGCTTCCAAATTTTTAACATTTGCATTAAATATAAACAGTTTAATTATTAATTTCCTCAGTTAGTAATTCAAATTTTTAGAATTATCCATTCTAATCAATTATAGCACAATCATTAAAATAAAGTTTTTCTAAAGGTATTTATCCTTAGCAATATGGAATTGTAAACATGTCGATTATGTATTATTTAATTGTATCTTGACAATCTATATAACGTCCATTATAAAGATGATTCTATAGATTAGTTTTCTTGTAAGAATTCTCATTAATTTCGAGGGTAGTTAAATTAAAGAATATTTGCAATTAAGCTTATAATTCTTGAGATAGATTTAAATAGTTGTAATTTAATTCTATTTATTCTTTTTATACAAAATCAATCAATCCATCTAATAAATCTTTTTCAATATCAAATTGATTATTTAAAATATCTTTAGTAATTTTTGAAAATTACCATTTTAGTATTTGTCCATTAATAATAAATTCAGGACCATTTACTTTTGCTTGAATATTAACATGTATTGAAATCTTCTCAATAAGATTTATTAATTACTCAGAAACATTTAGAATCTATAATTTATCTTCATTAGAACTAATAGTAACTGTTGGAATCTTGAGGAATATATCGTCAATTAAAAATAACACAACCTAAAAAGAGTTCAAAATAGCTTCTTTTTTCTAATAAAGTTTTTCATCCAGAAACACATCATCTTTGTGAATCTAATCATCTAAATCAGTTGACTTTTTTATCATTTTCTGAATAATAGTCATAACTTATTTTAATTCTGCTTGCAAACTATTTGGAGTTACATTTAATGTAGAATTAATTTTTGCATTTTGAATATAAAAGTTTTTTGTAGAATTCTCAAAACAACTTTCTGAATTATCATTCAATAATCTAATAGAGAATTTTGAATTATCATTATTTTGAATTAATCTTTTATAAAGCTATGTTGTTTAATATATTAATAATTAAACATCAATATCCTCATTTCCCAAAAAAGTTTTGATGTTTAAATATAATTATTTGGACAAATTAATACACTATTTTTAATCCTGATGATTCAATACACTTGTTATTTTAAATTAAATTAATATATATTTATCTAAGAACAATTAAGGACAGTCTTTTTTATATTTAATTTTTTCTCAATGTTTAAGTACAATCCTTTGGAATCCATTACTTATATTAAAAGAATGCCATCAGCGAATGGAAAATAGCCTTCAAAAACATTTGAACTTTAATAACTATTCAAAATTAATGAATAATCGTATTTTCTATTCAAAAAATCTAATAAATCTTAATTTTTAAGAAAATATCTCAATTAATATGTAAATGGAGCTGAGTCAGAAAAATCACATATTGTAATTATTTTTTAAAGTTTTAATGCTTCTACTATTTATTCACTCAAGCTCGCTAACAAGTTGGTGGTTAATTAACAGTTAACTATAAATGATCTTAACTGGGTATAATCTCATTTGTAAACTATGCCAAAAATTTTAAATTAATTTATTTTCCTTTTGTAAATTCTTAAAAGTAATCAAATACTCGAAATTAGTATTTAAAGTATTCTGATTGTAATATTTTAATGAGTTCAAAATTATAAATTACAGCAATTTGATATTCTAAAAGATATTATCTATCTTAAAAAGGAATATTAATAATGAAATCCAAATTTTCATAATTATTGATTGGTCTCATTAAATATCCTTTACTATATGTGACATTTAATAATTTAAAATCATTATCTAAATAGACAATATTTTATTTAAATTTATAAGAATATTGTTATTTTGATGCTACTACTGTCCAACATTAAATAGTATAAGGTTGTATTGATTATTTAGGAATTATTTGGATACTATCACTTTTATTAACTTTAATTATTTTTTTATTTACATCCATACAGAGTGAATTGAGAGTCAAATCAACACACTCAACATTAATTTAAATGCCTAAATCCTCATTCCAGTCATATTAAGTATCTAAATCTCTACATGATATGTATATTTAAGTATCTTTTCTATAATTCTGAATCTTTTTAGTGCCATTAAATTAACAAAATATACCTCCTGAACTGATTTCAAGTGTAATATTTCTTGTAATTGAAAAGTTCAACAAAGGATCAATCGTTGTTTATTAGAAGGTATATGCAATTCTAGAAGTCAAAGTATAATTTTGTATTGTAACATTAAAGAAACTTTGACGAGTGCTTTCTTAATAATTTACTCTTGAAGGCCTTGAATTAGAATCGTTTCTATATACTTCAACTAAAGATAATATGTATTCAGAATTATCAATTTAAGCTACTGCAGATTCAGAGCATTCCTTCTTCTTAATTTAGAATTGCAAAAAAATAGTTTCAAAAGTATAATAATAAAGTTTTTAAATCCAAAGAATTGTTGGAAATTGACCTGAATGAGTTTACAATTTTATAATATGTATATTCTTTTAAGTTACAAAATTTTGAAACTCTAAATAGAAGGTAATATTTGACTATTTTGGTAGAGTTTGGAATGGAATAACTAATTCTAACATTTATAAACTAGTTAATGAAGCAACAAAGTTATCAAGATCACCATTTCCATTAGATCCAGATACAGAGTATGTCCATTTTATTCCAATTAAACCTCTAAGTCCATCGTTAAGTTTTTACTTCAAAGGTATAATATTATCATCACAAGGATTAATAAGATAAGTAGGTATATCATAACTTATTTTAGGAGAGACAGGGTTTATAGGATTTTTGATTTAATTGAAAATAAAAATCTTTAATCTTCTTTCGCATTCTTGATGACCAAAATAATTATCATAAAATATGATCTTATCACCTGGAATAATCTTAACTTGTTATCCTACCTTCATAATTAATATTGTATCATCATCTGGATCAACATAGCAAATAGGATTCTTACCAAGCAATTAATATGTTTGATAATCTAAGATTTTTAAACAGACATTATCTTAAAATTGAGTAGTAAAGAATGATGGATTCAATAGAAAGTCAAACTTAACTAAAATTGATAATAAGTCATCAGAGAACCTAACATCCACTACAGCAACTTCACAAGCTTTTATATTAATAGAAATTTCTAATACTTGAACACCATGGAGTATCAGGATGACTCACAGAATTAGGTGGTTAATCACAAGACATCTCAGGAGATAAGATTCTATTGCCATTACAACTGAGACAACCATCTACATTACATGTTTTGCATAATCCATAACAAACTTAACAAGATTCATTTTATAGATCATCGTAAAATCCTTCAGGACATTCACATTTAGGAATGTTAATACGATCTCCTTCACAGATTAGACAATTTAATGAGGAATCCTTGCATATTTTACATTAAAAGTCACATTCTTAAATTATTAATAATTAAATACAAATACAAAGAGGTTATCCACCTACATAATACCCATCCTAACATAGACATTGTTTACTTAATCTACCTTCTTTACATATTAAACAATTAGCGGGAGTCTTTTCACAAGTTAAGCATTAATTTTCACATTCTAAAATAATAAATGATTTATTACATTCACAATTTTAAGCAGAATTTTCAAAAAATCCAAGCTTGCAATTACAAATAGGAGGTGTGTCTCTCAGATTGCTAAAACAAGTTAAACAATGAGTAGAAGATTCTAAACAATATTTACAACGTGTGCTGCATTTTTAGCAATCCAGTTAAATACCATCATCAAAGTACCCATCTTTGCAAATACAATTCTGAGAGATGCTTTGTCTATTAGAAGTAATGGAATAAGAACAATTTATACAATTCTCTTTAGATTAATTACATGTTTAACATTTAAGATGGCATTCTTGTTATATATAAAATTAATACTTTAACAATTTTCATATTCATTTTCATAGAAACCAGATGAACAAGGACATTTATTAATAACAGATTAATCAATTCTATTTTAATTAAGATCACAACTTGTACAATAATCTCTTTTCCCTTTACATGTGAGACATTAATTGGAACACTCTATAAATTAATTAAAATTGTTTACTTTCACAAATTAATGAGCCATTATCATAATATCCATTTTAGCAAATACATTCATTTAGATTTAATAATCTAAAGAATTTGGTTAAGTTACATGAAGTACATTTGGTTGAAGTGATATAACAAGTATTACAATATAAATTGCATAGTTAACACATCTCAATCCCAATATCATAATAACCATCTAAACAATTACATTAATTATTATTATTTAAAACTCTAAAATAATTAAGTTCACAAGATAAGCATTTTGTAGATTAATTAATGCATGTCTTACAACTTAAATCGCATTCTAATAATAATTTTTAATTTTACATGAGCATTTTTTAAAAAAAGCTTCGTAATATCCATCTATGCATGGACAACTCAAGTTATCTGGAAAAAATATCTAGTAAGATTTTCGCATTCTATACATTGCGATAATTTTTTGCATTCTTTACATGAAATATTACAAGCTAAATTACTATTATTATACCTTCACATTTTAAAGTAGATGTATTAAAATAGAAACCTGTTGAACAAACACATCTATTCAAGACATCCAAACTGAGATTGTACGAAGCATCACAAGTGAGACAATAAGTAGGAGATATTTTACAAGTTAAACAAGATTAATCACACTATTTACAATTTAAAGTAATAGATTCTTCATAATATCCATTTTGGCAAATACACATATTTCCTGTTTTAAAGATTCGATTTTAATCTGCTGAACAAGATGTACAATAATCATCTCGGTTGATACATGTAAAACAAGTTTTATTACAAAATAAACACTATTTATCATTTCCACTTTCATATGTCCCATCTATGCAATTACATTGATTGTTGAATAATAATCTCAAAATTTTGCAAGAAGTACAACTAGTGATTGAATTTTAACATGTTTAACATGTAATATCACATATTTGACATTCAAAATTAATATCTGTAGTTCCAGGCTTGCAAATGCAAGTTTGAGTAACATTGAAATCCAAAATAATTACATGTAAAACAAGTATAATGACATTTTGAACAAGTTTCTATTCCAGAATCATAATAAGAATCTAAACAATTACAAGTAAACATCTATGAATTGAACAACCTATTTAATGTAATTGAACATGAATCACATTTGGTAGAAATAGAGCTGCACTGAGAACAAGAATAATGGCATTCTTTTAATAATAATATTAATATAATTACCTTAACATATTGAATTTGATCCATCGTCAAAATATCCTTTTTAACATTAACATTGTGAATTAATCAAAGTTCTAAATGTGTTCGGATAACAACTTAAACAATTAGTATCTAATCCTGCACAGGTTTAACAACTATAATTGCATTCTAATATTAATTACAATAATTTTACATTAACATTTTGGTTTGCCAATATCAAAATAATGAAATTCACAAATGCAATTTGAATTTTATAAAGTTCTCATTTCACTATCCAAACACGATGTACATTTATTAAATGTAGATCCATTACAATTTAAACAAGAATAATGACAACCTATATTAAATTTATTTAATAGTACTTTGGCATTCTGCTTTACCTAAAATTAAATAAGTACTGATGGCAGCTCCGTTTAATTTTGTTTGGCATAAACATAAATTTCCTTATAAGTATCTATCTGGTTTACAAGAAGTGCAATTGTCAGCAGAATTTACACAATTCAAACAATTGGCACTGCATGCTAAAGGATTATTTTAATGTATAACTAGGCATTCAGGCTATCCAACATCGAAATATTTACTCTGACATAAACAGAATCCTGAAGGATCCAAATATCTCATTATTTAAGCATTACAGGATATACATTAATTTGATTATGAGCCATTACATGTTAAGCAAGTGCTGTGACAAACTAATGTGAATCTCTTTAATACCAATGCAATTTGGATTTCCAGGTTGATCATATGATTTGGCTGGACAAGAACAAGAATTATCTGTTCCTAGATCCCTAAAGGAGAAGACTGGACATGATGTACATTTGTCTATTGTACCACTGCAATTAGCACATCTATATGAGCATTCTAGTATTTTACTAATTTTTTACTGTAGCACAATGGGTCTCCAACTAGTTTTTCCATATATGTATTTAAGCATAAACATTTATTAGCTCTGACCTCTCTGTAGTTACTAGCAGCACATGTGATGCAATTATCTTCTTCAGGACCAAAACAGGTCATACATGTATAATAACAAGCTTCAAATTTATCAATTTAATTACGGGAACATTGCAATTAACCAACATCATAATAACCATAAGGACAAATGCATTTGAACATTACTAATTAGCGATGAGAAAGATCGCATGTTAAACAATTATTATCATAAATTCCATTACAAGTTTTGCAGGTAAAATGACATTCCAAACAATTTAATTGGGTATCATCACTGAAATAATGAGAATCTTTGCACTAACATTTAAAATGGTTTCCAATTACATCAGGTTATCTTGTAATTGGACAATTTGTACATTAATCTTCTCCAGGTAGATCACAATCGGAGCATGTATGGTGGCAAATGTCTGTAAAATGATGTAGTTAATAAGGTACATAAACACATAACCTAGTTGATTCCAGTATCAATGCAAGCTTTGTTGCATAAACACTATTTATCAGAAGTTAGATGACGATTAGACTAAGATGAACAGGTTGTGCAATTTGTGGCTAAGGGACCATTACAATTTTCACATGTGTAATGACATTCTAAATTATAAAGATATTTACAAACACAAATATCAGAAATGCCATCATCACCATAACCAGCTTTACAAACATAATTAAGTTGATCAGAAACAACTCTATCCTATCCTGCTATGCACATTGTGCAATATTCATTAACTGTATTATAAAACGGCAAATAACATTTCTCACACCTTGGATGACAAGCTAAAATACTTAAATGAGAATTAATACGTAAACATAAAGTTTCATCATTCTGAATATATTCTATTGTTCTTATTAAACATAAACATTATCCAGCTACCAATTATTTATGGTATATATTAGGATCTCCACAATCTGTGCAATTATCTATACTGGGCCCATCGCATTAATAACATGATGGATAACATACTAATTTAAAATAATTGATAATTACATTAACAAATTATATCAATAACTCCAGTATTATAACATCCTATAGAACACACTAATTATTATTTTGTTTAAAATACTTAAACATTAAGATCCCTTAGGTCCTGTACATTAAGCACAATTATTGATACATGAACCATAAAAAATAGTAAAGTCTCTCAAACCAAAAGACTCATTATCTATTGGCTCATTTAATGTTGTTGAAAATTAAATTTCTACCTAACTACTTGTATGATTTAAATCTATTTCATTTCTAACAAATATTGTTCTCTACCCAAAATCTGAATTTCCACATACCTTACCAAAATAACCCTCATACCATTAAAATCTTCTTTCCTAAACTAAAACACTATCCACTCTCATTTGGGCAGCTTCGTTATCCCAAGAATCAATTTTAGCCCATAAAATTTATATCTTTAATTAATAATGTGGAGGAATATTAAAAAAAGACTTACTGATCACTGTTCCAGTTCCTGTCTTTTAGTATCCGCCAAACAAAACAACAGCTAATTCATATGAATTCTATTTACATCCACATTGTCGCCTCAGAAATTCCAGATATAACTTTCCAACCATCCAATACTATTCCATTAATATCTAATTAGTTCCAACTAGTCTATATTACTTTCCAAAAATAACATTCAAATATAGTATCAGTCTATTGGCATACTAAACATCCCTAAGGACATTTCTCGACTGATATAATGAAATCTCTAAATCCCCAAGACTCCTAATTAAATTTTCTAATTGTTATACATTATCAGGGCCTTCATCTAAATTGGTTGTGAAAATTACTACAGCTGTCGGGCCACTATGCTTTATATTTAAGTTCAAATTCATTGATACTTCATTCCAATTCCCACCACACATTGATGATCCATCATAGTAATTGTATTTTTTCTGCCACGCTATTTGATAATCCACAAAAATATATCCGTATTCAGAGTCCCAAGAATCTATTCTATATTATTTATGCCTTTTACTTCCAAAATTACACTTGCAAATTTATTGAAGAATGAGGTGGTAGCTCAAAAGTCTTACTAGCACTTACCCTTCGACCAAATGCTGAAAAATCACCAAATAATTTTTGACCCATACAATCTGTGAACTATGGTTAGGCTCCACTCACCACCCAATCTAAGTTTGATTCAATATGATAATTACTATCATCATTAGAGAAACTATTTCCTTAAAATGAAGATGAGATCACTTATGAAACACCAAAAACTTCAATTATACTAATCAAATATAGTGCTATTCCAAAGATAGGATTAATCATTAATATTATTTATGTGAAAATATAAATCGAAGACATTTTTAAATAATAACTTTCTACTAGATAAAATTAAATTACTATATAAAATTAATTTAATTTTATTCAAAGACAATAAACAAAATTCATTATAAATGCATTTTTTAATCGTTAGCTTTCAAGAAACAGATATTTTATCGAGAAAGAATCAAAAATTACATAATTCACATTTGATTATTTTTACATTTAATCAATTCTATCTTTAAATCCATTTAATTATTAATTATTTCCTTTTTATCTATAGTAGAATAAATGAAATTTTGTCAATCCCTTGCTTAAATTTTGCTGTTTTTGAGATATAATAAAATAAATTTTCAGGAGTTGATTCGAAAAATACTTCTTAATCTTGTTGTGGCTAGATTATCAATTATAAAAATAAATCTATGGAACAGTCTCCGAATTTATTTTAAATATTAAATTATATTAGTTGTAATATCTAAATAATAATCTTTGAAAAATAGCACTTATAATGGGGATTCTAATATTTGAATCAAAACTTCAACATTCAATTATTTGTTCAAAAAATGCCTTTTAAATGCTGTAATTTTTGTTAAAAATTTCATCAACATTAAAAAAAGAATAAATTAATTAATATCAAATATAAAAATATACAAATTATCTTTTAAAAAGCATTTTTTTAATTTAAAAGTTTCTCCATAATTCAATAAAAAACTATAATTATAATTATTAATTTTGTTATTATTATCATCGATCATTATTTCACTATTAAATAAAAATGAATAACAATATTTAGCAAAAATAAAAATCAATATCAATCTTACATAGTAATGGAAATATAATATATACTAAATTAAACACTTATATGGAAAAATAAATATTAGAATTGGTTTTAGTATTAATAAAATACAAAAATAAATTTGAAATTAAAAATGGTAAAATAAACTTAATAAATTCAAGTATATATTTTAATTACATTTGTTAATTACCTTTTTTAATTATATAATGTTAATGATGTAAATATTTTTATATATATAT